TTTCAACTAAGGGAGTCATTTTAGGGTTTACAGGAGACTTGATTATATATGGGATCCCAGGTCCAAGGATAGATCCCCAGATTGTTCTCTGGACAGAGGAGAGGGTGCCTGAACCGGCCTTGGCCCATAACCATACTGATGAATATTTTGCTTATCACCATAGATCCTTCACCTGGTGATGGATGGCGATACAGATGGAGACCCACATTGGAGCATCAGACTCAGCCCCCAACGTCCATATGAGGAGCAGAAGGAGGAAGAAAATGAAAAAAGGAAATAATGTCTGCGAGGGATGCTATCACCCACTGATACAAGGGGACGGATCTAATGAGAGTTTACCAAGGCCAGCTGGACTGCGACTGAACGAGGACGTGATCCAACCAGTTTCTCTGAATGTGGCCGGATTCTCTGATTGTGGCTGGCCTGGAGTCTTTCTGAAAAGTCATTGGCAATGACACTGGGACATGTTTCCTCTGCATATACTGGATTTTGGGGATCCAGTCTGCTGGGATACTCACCTTCCTGGTCCTGGAGGGAGGGGGGAGGAACTTGAACTTCCCACAGGGCAGGAAACCCTGACTGCCTTTAGGGACTAAGAGGGAGGAGGAGAGGGAGGGGGGGGAGTGGGAGGGTGTTGGGAAGAGGGGCGTAAATGGAAACTTTTATAATTTAATAAAATTACAAAAAAAAAAAATAACATAGCTAAAAAAGATAATTTTTTTAAAAAAAAAAGTGAAATTCAAAATCTCTGTCTCATGTCAGAAAAGCTACCTGATGTGGGACAGAAGAAAAACAAAAATTTAAGGGTTATTTTATTGCTACTAATCTCATAATCCTTTGACTTTATATTGACCCTTTGACAGCTTTTCTTAAGGTGTAAAATTTATAAGACTAATATATATATTTTAAATTTTTGTCATGATATTAATGGTCATATAGAGTACTAATTAATTTTAGTAACGATTTCATCTACCTTCTTGTACATGATTTTGGGTTTGAGTATCCATCAGTTTTCTGCAGTGAACCATGAGCATGCCTAATAGTGACCTTTGAAGTCTCTATAAGGAGGATAGGGCCCCACAATGATGATTCCTCCAGGACTATGATAACATCACTGAACTGAAAACACCACCTGAGGATTGGCTTTGGACTATAAAGTGCTCAGAAAAAATTTGAAGTGGCTAGTTTAATAGAATAGGATCCAGCTTAATAGACTACTCTAGCCAGGACTTGATACAAGCCCTGTACTTTCCCATTATGCATAGACTGGACAAAAATAAATAAATATAGCAACCTCTCCCAGGACTTAACAATTAACCCAATTTATTCTTTCAGTATCCTCTAAAGATACTGTCTACCCCAGACAGCAGGAAGTAAATTTAAGAATATAACGGACACATTCCCAAGAGGTGGGTGGATGTTTTTGGTTGTTCAGTAGATTATGGGTATTATAGATATGACAGGATAAAAGGGTAGATTATTAAATCTATTCTGAAAAGAAAAAGGGAGGATATAGATATGATAAGATAAAAAGGTAGGTCATTGAATCTACTTTTAAAAGGCAACTACTAGTTTTAAATGTTTTACATTTGATTGGACCTTTTGTATACTGTATACAAATTTTGTATATTGATACAAATTTAAGACTATTTTTGTTAAAACATACTGTACATACATTTCTAATCTTGTTCAAGGTATTGTACCTATACAGCTCATTTAACAATGTAATGCAAATCTCTAGTCCTTGAAAGCTATTATTACCAACTGTTTAGAATAAGGAAATGCAGGTTAGTAGTTAATTACCTATCACAATCGAATTTGTAGTCACATTAGGTATGTTTTCAAGGTCAAACAAAGATATATTTTATATAAACAGGTTATTTCAAACACTTCAGAGATCTACATTAAGATATTTTAATAACACAGGCTCTTTTTTATGAAAATAAGACATGGCAGAGCCAATCTACTTCAGAGAAGATAATGGGCATCAAAGAAACTCCACAAGGAATTTACTTTCTTTATGGCAAAAGTAAGCCCCTGGGTAAGAAAAGGCCCCTGTCTCAACTGCTGACAGTATGCTGTCCTAATTAAACAAGCAGGACACAAAAGAAAGTGACTGCCAATCACTATCAAGACAAGGAAGAACAGCCTTTCAGAGTATCCTGCTTCATAGAAAAGTCTGTTGGATATGCTGGGCCTGTTGGCTGAAGATCTGTCAGTACCCACATTTTTTGGAAGTTGCTTGCTTGCACTTTCTGCTTACTCAGTTAATATTATTTCCTTCTTGGGTCTCTGAGGGAGATGAAGATTAGATAGTAATAGTTTTCCTTTTTTACTTGTTGCAGAAAGCAAGTTATGATAGAAAGTAAATTAAGGACAAGACTTTGGATTCGCCAAGATAGGATAGATATGGAGTATTTTCTCTGAATTTGCCAAATGCAAATGGACTAGACACTATTGATGTATCTATTGTCAGCATATACTGTATATAGTTATTGTACTTATTGTATATAGTTTTTTATATTAGCTATAGCCTTCTTTTTTATTTTAGACAAAAAGGGGAAATGCAGTGGCATTTCATTTGTATTTTAATAAATAAAGCTTGCCTGAAGATTAACAAAGTAAAACAGCCACACTGGCCAGCCTTATAGACCAGGCAACAATGACATACATCTTTAATCCTAGTAGCCACAATAACACACACCTTTAAACCCAATAGCCACACTAGCTTGCTATAGAAACCAGGTGGTGCATGCCCTTAATCCCAGAACCAGAGAGAATTATAAGATGGGAGGAGACAGCTCTCAGTCTCAGTCTCATTCTGAGATTCCTGGAGGCAAGATTGCCATTTTAGATCGAGGTAGAGGTAAGAGCCAGTGGCTGGCTGTTTTGCTTGTCTTCAGGTTGAACCCCAATTTCTACCTCTGAGTTTTTATTAATTGTGCTTCATCTGCTTGTGCTGTCACCAATGCCCTGCAATCCAACAGTATTAGATGACTGTGATGCTGGGGTATAGCTCGGTGGCAGAGAACTTGCTTCACATACATGAGGTCTTGGTTCAATACCCAGAACTGCTGGAGGATTAAGGTGGGGGTTGCAAGGGGAGGGAATTTGACTTATACTAGGACTTCTTAGCATTTTTCCTCTTGTTACTTCCTTTTTGACTGAGAAATTTGAATATAGGTATATATAAAAGAAAATAGGCATACAAATCAAACATTTACTGATAAATCATAAACATTCAAAATAATTCTCTCACATACATATAATTGCATAATATTGAGAGGGGTATGATTATTTTTAAACAAATAACTGAATCTTGGCTGGGATTTGATATTATAGGATATAAAGATTCTTTAATATGTTTCAGGTTATTTTTTTTAAATTTAAAATTGCCCATGTTGAGAACACTGCTTTGCATAAATATTCATTTTTTAATTCCATGTCTTTAAATTGAGAATAACAGCACCTATTTCCTAGGGTGGACATTAGAATTTAATGAAGAAATACCACTGAAGCAATAAGCATAGTAACTGCTTGTTTTTATTATTGTTTTATTACTATGCTGTTAATTAGCACATACACTTAAAATTATGACTCTTGGAAGTATAAAGAATGCTCAAATAGTTTCATACAGGCTAAAGAGAAAAAAAACCCTACAGGTATAAAAAATGTAACAAACACCAGGCAGTGGTGGCACATGCCTTTAATCCCAGCACTTGGTAGGCAGAGGCAGGTGGATCTCTAAGTTTGAGGCCAGCCCGATCTACAGAGCGAGCTTCAGGATAGCCAGGGTTACACAGAGAAACCCTGTCTCAAGCAGAAAAAACCCCAACAAACAAACAAACAAACAAACAAGAACAACGAAACAAGCCATGCAAATCAAGGTACACAGAATGACCAAGAGGCAGGAGAGATCACGAGTGCTTTCTAGGGGGAGGTTCAGGAAGCGTCTAGAGAAGGTCCTTAGGATGCAATGCTAAGAAAGTGAACACAGGGTTAGGGGGGTGGTTGTCACTGGACATCTGCAAACAAGCTCCCAACACAGTAATTTTTCATTTATTTTAAAACATAGCTATAGCACTTACTCTGTGCCAGGATTTGTTCTGAGTGTTTCACAAATGTTAACTCATTTAATTTTCAAATGGCTCAAGAAGTAGGTCTACAGTAGTTATCACTTTACAGTGGGGAAACTGAGTCCCCCCTCCCAAATTAACTTGTCTAGTCAAATAAGTGACAAGGCTAGGACTTAAAAATGGCAGCTCGTTTGGAAAGTCTCCACTTTAACCAGCACACTATCTTCTCTGCAAGGCAAGCAGACCCTTAAGCGCACTCAGCTACCACTCAGCTACGAAAAGGTAAAGTGGGCGCAGGGAAGGCGACTTGCAGGGCAGCTCTGCTCACCACTATCCATCAGTACTGCCCCAGGGAGCCTGTTTGGAAAGGCAGTACAGTGATCCAGTTCCCGATGATTTAAATAGAATGTGGGCAACAGGAATAAAAAGGAAAGGGTAAGCCTGAGTTGACCAGACATATGAAAGCAAGCCGCATTTCTATGCCACTGCTAGTTATGTGACTCGTCACTCTTTTCATCTGGGATAGAAAATGGTGTCAGAAAAACGTGTGACCTTTTCTGTTCTCAGATGTGCTCACAGAGCACAGACTTCCAGGGAGTATACCTACTTATTTTCATTCATTACCTGTTTTATTTCCTCTGCAGTTTTGTCTTTCACCATCTCAATGTTAAAGATTGAACTGAGAGTCTTGAAAGAAAAAAATAGCAATTAATATTTACAATTAACAACAACCCCAGTTTAATTCTGTCTAAAGCCTTGTAGAAAGAACGTCAGCAGCGAAGCAGACTTCAGTAGGTACAGAATAAGCATTCGACACTCACATGCTCAGAGAATGTGAGTCTCTGCTCCCACACAGGTCTTCACAGTTCTATTCCTGGGGAGTAGCTATTAGGTCATCAAGTGCTCCCCAAATGCTTGTCTCACCAGTGAGTTCTGCAGCACTTTGCAGCTGGTGAGAAAGAAGAAACCCTGGCTGCTGTTCTACCAGGAAGCTCCTTATTTGCAGGATAAAGGACAGGCTACACATGGTGTTTTGATTTTGAAAGTTCCTTTCTATAGAAAGGAGAGCACTCATTTCCTTCCTTCCATTTCTTGTGGCCTCCTTGGACTCACACTGAAGCTAGGGGTCATGTCAAGGACACAAAAATCTAGAAGTATTTCTCATCTCTACTGTTGGAAAAAAAAATCACCTTATACAAAAAAAAAATCACTGAGCACAATAAATATGTTCAAATTTGCAGTCTCTTATTATAGATGTCCCATATGACTTCAGACTTGGATTTCTGTATTTAATTAGAAACCTACCTTGTCCTTAGTGAATCCTTTGCTCACAGGCTGTTTCCCTGAGGCATCTGTCTGAAATACATGATGAGACAGGCTATTAAACTATCTTTCCTCATAAAAAAAAAAGAAAAGAAAACCAAAAACCAAATCACAGAAGTACTCAATCTCATTAAGTAATTCTGTACCTAAGAATTCACTTCTATCCACTCTTTATAACACCGTACATACTATTCTAAGAGTTATTGTTTATGTACAATTTTCTTTCCACTAAGATCCTGAAATGCAGAGATGAGAAAGGGGTTGTTAGTAATCACTAAATCCCAGTACGAAAGTTCATTCTAATCTGTGAGTTCCTCCCAATTTCTTTTTGGGCTTTCTGTGATTGGCCCTCTGATTTCACACCAGCCATAGATCAGGTGGGAAATAGAGAGATGTATTTTCTAAAACTAATTATTTCTGATACCACTTCTTGTGGTAGCTGTCCTCAACATTCTAGAGTCTTGCTGAGTTCTTACTCTCTCTATTAATTCAACTTTTGGTGATGGCTAATAGTTCCTGCTACTCTGATTGGACTGAAAAGTGCCCAGGGTCAGTGTGTGATGTCACTTCCTGAGATGATGAGGTCATGAGGGCTCTGACCTGATGAATGGATTAATCTTCTGTTGGATTCATTGTATTATAAAATTGGGAAGTGATGAAGGATGGCTTACCTGAGGAAGAATGTCACTAGGGGCATGTCCTTAGGGGTTCTACTTTATCCTGGTCTCTTCTCATAGTCCCCTTTCTCTGTTTCCTGAGCCCACACCCCAGTTGACAAGATGTGCAGACATATTTGAAACCATGTGCCAGAACCAATCCTTCCTCATTAATCCGTCCATCATTCTGTCACAGAAACTTGGTGACAACTAACACACTTCCTCACTGAAGGGCCGGAAATGACTGAAAGTGGCCCAACCTGGCTGAAGTCACTCCTGAATTTGTTCCATGCATCTCCCAGCTTGGAAGCTTTCAAATTATAGGTTGTAAAATCAATTCAGTGGATTGTCATCAGAATTATTTAGAAAATGAAAAGTAAGAATGCGCCCCCCAGGCATGATGGCTCTGGACACATGGGAGGCCGAGGTGGGGGAGGGCCCAGATGAGACTGGTTTACATGGTGAGAACCAGCCTAAAAATAGAATAGGAATGTATTACATATCATAAGAGCGCTGTCCCATAAAAAATGTGTATGTTATACATGTGTATTCTAAGTAGCAGTGTAAATATATTTCCTACTGCAGGTTATGGTCAAAGAGTTTGAAAAAGCCTTGTCCTGGGTAATTATACATACAGCTTTCCACATGCTTTCTCCAGTTTTGACTGCTCAAGGATCCCAATGGCTAATAATACATTAAGTTCTGATGATACTAGTTCATTCTATCTTTTTTTTTTTAATATTTATTTTGTATATAATATTCTGTCTGTGTGTATGCCCGAAGGCCAGAAGAGGGCACCAGACCTCATTACAGATGGTTGTGAGCCACCATGCAGTTGCTGGGAATTGAACTCAGGACCTTTGGAAGAGCAGGCAAGGCTCTTAACCACTGAGCCATCTCTCCAGCCCCCTCATTCTATCTTTAGTATGATTCTGTGAGATAGGTATTAATAATGCTATTTCTAATTCACAAATAGGCAGAACTGAGGCAGAGAAAAGTCAAACAATCTGTCCATAATTACCAAGCTGGTAGTTGAAGGCTATGATTCAGTCCCTGGCATGTGCTGCCAGACCTATCTTTTCAGCAGGGAAGTCACCTACCTCACTTCTTAACTCAATTGTCTCTGCAGTCATGTGTCATATATTCACAAGCACACACACCTACATACAGCAAAAAATAAAAAAAAAAATCTTGCTGGGTGTAGTGGTGTACGACTTTATTCCCAGCTACCAGAAAGCAGAGACAAGAGAATCTACGAGTTCAAAGTCAGTCTTGTCTACATGGCAAGTTCCATGCCAGATTGACAGTGAGACCCTGTCTTTAAACTCTGGACCTCCACTGTAAGCACATCCATGCTCCCTATATATAGCCCAGTGCCATGTGTACCTTGATTTGATCACTAGACTGCATTCCTTGTGAGCAGAAGCCATCCTTTCATTCCTCTACATTCCATCATGACTACAGAATCTTGCCCAGAAAGAACAGAATATGTATTTATTGATGAAGATCAGATGTTCAGGTTACTACCATCTCATCCATCAGTGAGATCACTTAAAGGGTAACGGCTGAGAGGAATGCTAGTAAACTTACAATACACAAAAGGACCAGGCAGGCCTTACCTTCTGCTCCACACATCTGATAAAATCACTTTGTTTGGAGTGTCCCACTGGTTGCTTCCGAAACTCACTGCGTTTCTCCAGACGGGACTCAAAGGCAGCTGGGTCGGACCTGCCCAAAGGGAAATCAAAGGATAAAGCACCCAGGATTTTGAAATAACAAAGTATCATAAATCACATCCACAAAGACAGGACATAGGCATTATGAGGGCTGGCTTTCAGTTGTTAAGAACTGGGCATAAGCCTGGAAGTCAAGAAAATGGAAAGCAAAGCCAGCTCATCAACTATTATGCCTCAGCATTTTTTGTCTTTTGCACGTTATTCCCAGGTAATGCATGGGTTAGTTTCAGATACTTAAACATTATAGATACTTAGACTACTCAAGATAGGAAGAATACTTTAAGCCATATTGCTGGGTCAGCTCTGCAGGTAGGAATCCTGTAGCACTCCTACTTGGTGTTAACCTTTTACCTGAATATATCTAATTTTTGGCGTCTCCCTTTATCCCCACCCTCAGGTCCTGGGCTCCAAGTGGGTGCTTTGGGAGAAGAGTTAGTACCCAGTATCTCCCTGACCTATCATTCCAGAGACCCTGCAGACCGAACATCAGAATTCGCCTTTTATCTTAAAATGGGGATGCTCTTCTGACTTGAAGGCCAGGCTGGGGCTGTCAGGAATACTTCAGATTGTGTAGCTGACCACGGGATGTTTGGCTTTATATGCTAAGATGAAAACATCATCCCAGCTACTTGGCTGGGAGCCACACAACACCATGGGTGAGGAGACAAAGTCATCTTGTTTAATCCTTTGGCAGACCTTCACAGTCAAGGCATTATAGGGTACCCTCTATTCCATTTGGATGTGACACCAAATGTCACTCTTTTCATTAGTATGTAGATGGGCTGACCTTTTTCTTTCTGTCTGGAAGGACTAGGTAAGCGTGGCTAGCAGCTTGCCACAGTGGGGCACCCTGGACAGCAGAGCTCTTCCTAGGCTCCAGGGACATAGAAAATAACCAAGACACTGTCCTTACTTGAAACTTACTATCTAGCTGCAGATATGCAAATATGTACATGAGCACTACTGATCATTAAAACAAAAAAGTGCACAAACATCCCTAAATGACGGAGGTGGTTTCATGACTGTACTTTCAACTGTGTTGTTCCCATATTTGGAGCACATTCCATCCTCCCCCTCCCTCCAATTATCTTCGAGCTAGACCTAGACCACACTATTCAAAGACTAGCAGGAGCTAGGGTGTGAAAGCTTTATGTGGAACACTAAGCTGTTTGGACATAATACAGAAGTCAATGGGACATGTTCTGGAATATCAGTAGGTATAAATGTTGATGGGAATGACCTAGAGAAAGGAAAGAAATCATTATGGGCTCTTGAGTAAGTGTCAATGGAACCGCTAAGTATTCAGAGTGCGAGTAGACAGACATCTCTTTGAAGATGCTGGTGGGTAAAAGATCAGAGAGAAATGCGTGGGGAGAACTGTGGGTCAAAAAACTACTTTAAAATAAGTAATATGTTTGAAGGACAGTAAAAGTACGCATTCATTTGTTTCATCATTGCTTCAAAAAGTGTGACAGATCACGATGTTCATGTAAAGGGGATGGGGAGAGGGTTCCAAGACTAGAAGGGGTGAACACTAGGTAGAGGATGATGCTGTCCATGTGAAGAAGAAGAAATTAAGGGAGTGGAACTAAAATGAGACAAAACGCAGAGAGTTTACAATCCTTTCAAATTGCCTCCCTACACCACCAAACTCTCTCTCAAAGCCCCTTTCCATTTTTGACCTTCAACTCATCCACCTGAAACTAGGCACCCACTATACCTATCTTAACGGCCATGACCATACCCCACTTTTCCCCCTCAGTGCTGGGGATGCAACCCAAGGCCCTGTGCATCCTAAGCAAGTGCTCTTCCGCTCTAGGTTTTATCTTCTGGAAGCTGAAGCATTAGGAACCCTGGCTTTCGTCAGACAAACCATAGGCCACTGTGTGACCTCCAGCAAGCCTCTACCTCTCTCCAGACCCCCAACATTTCCTTAGTGAACAGGTTCAATGGGCGATCCAAATGTAATTCCACTAGTCTTTGCAGTACTTTTCCCACTCCCAGTCTCCTCTTCACGCAGCCAGGGACCGACGCTTGGAGCCTGGGAATCTGATCTCTTGGCCAGGTACCCACTGATTCAATATGTGACCTTGACCAAACCAAGTGCCTTTTCTGAAAGCTTCACTTTCACATTTCTACAGAGGGGACAACTCTCTCGGAGCTGTCTTCCTCAAAGGGCTTTAATTAAAGAGTTCACCGGAGCGTTCTGAGAACCAAGTACAAGGACAACTGTGGGAAGATCCAAAGGCTCCGCAGAGACCAGCGATGTGACCTTAGGCAAGGGACCTGGCCTCTCTGAACTTGGAAACAAACTATTGGTATAGTGGGGACAGTACAAGCCCACCAAGGAGGATAGTTTAGTAGTAAATGACGGAAGCTCTGCCCGCGTGCCGCGAGTCCCTACTTCCAACGCCCCGCCGGTCAGTACCGCACCTGCGCAGCTGCTGGATCTTGTCCCGGTAGCGGTCGTAGAAGGGGTTAGCTTCCAACTCGCTGACCCCGCTGCCGTCTGCTCCCCCAGAGGGCGGGCCGGAGCCCCGGCGTACCGGGAACACGCGCAGCTGCGCTGGTGACACGAGCCCCAACCCCAGGGCGCGGCTGCGCACTGCACAAAGACCCCGGTAGAGGCCGGCCACCTGCAGGACTGCGGGGCACGCTCCACCCGCAGCAGACACCACGGCCGCCATGGCCGCCCGCGCCTCCCCCTCCTCCTCCTCTGGGGCGTCAGCCTCGGCCCCCGGCCCGCGCGCCTGCTCCATCGCTTTCAAGGTCCGTGACGCCCGTGTTCCGCCACCGAGGTTCCGGGCGTGCAAGGTTCCGGGTGCCGGAGTGGAGAAGGGACAGCGACGCTAGGGGCTGGTGGCTCTCCTCTCTGCCCACCGGTTCTGTGGGTGTAGCGGTGCGTCTCCTCCTAGGAATCTGCCGGGATTCACGTCCTTCCTCCCAGGACCAGCAGCCTCTGCGCGCCAAGCTTCTTCCAGAAAACTGGCTTGGATCTTCGGGTTCTCGTTGGATTTGCCCCTTTTCTAAATTTACTTGGCTTTAGCTGTTAACAGTTCCTTCAGCAGCAGAGGATGTTCGAACATCACAGCTGAAGTTTCTCTTTATTGGTTTCTATTGGCAGAAAGTCCCATTGGCCTCATACCCTATGAAGTAGTCACTACCCTCATTTTACAGACAGGGATGCTAAATTGGCTGTAAATCATTAAAGTACCAATTCCACCTAAGAGCTGAACTCTTTTTAAAACTCTGTGTCTCTGAAGTCTGGTTCCTTCTGTTTCTAGCATGTAATTAAACTGCTCTCAGAGACGCTAGGAATTGTCCTTGACAAATCTTTATTCAGGCTCTGTTTTCATCCTTAGAATGTGTTCGTTTCCCCACTTCCACTGAACTAAATTCTTCACCTGTTGAACTAGATGTGGGCTTGGGGACAATGACATCATCTCCGTTTCACCTGCTGCCAGTACGAGTGTACCCTCTGTGAGGGCAGTCACATGGAAGTCCTTATCTGGGCCTCAGTTGATAGGAACTCTTCCTGTGGCAGGAACAGAGCCTCCAAACTTCAATGCAGCCTGTCGTTAGACATGAGACACCCAATGCTGGGTCACCGCAGTGTGATTATGAAAGTCTCACTTTGCTGGTCTGCATCTGGCTCAGGATTCCTGTGCTCAAATAGGCATCCACTGCCTTCCTCCTCATTCACATCTCAGTGCCTCAGAGAGACCTCTCTTAATGAACCTCTCCACTACTGAAAAAAAGTATGTGCGTCAGGGTTGGGGGAGACAATTGTGTAGCAGGCAGAAGACAATTCTGAGAACAATTTTCTCTCCTTCCTCCTTTCCATGGTTTCCAGGAATCTAGCACAGGTCACCAGGCTCACATGGCAAATGCCTTTAACTGCTGAGCCATGTCACCCCCCATCTCCCTTTAGAGTATTTTTACTCGACTTCACGCTGTTACCTCCCTCTCCTTTTTACAGAAGTTATCACTATCTATAATTTGAGACCTGTGGTGGTCTGAGGGAGGACTACCCCATAGACTTGGGTCTCTGAACACTTATTTCCCAGCTGGGGGAGTCTGTGAACCTTTAGGAGGCAGAGCCTTGCTGGTGGAAGTGTATCACAAGGGGCAGGCTTTGAGAGCTTGTAGGCTTGCCCCACTTCCAGTTATTGCACTCTGCTTCCTACATATGGATAAGGATGTGATCTTTCAGCTTCTTGCCCTATCCTCCTGCTGCCACACTGCCTCTGTCATTAGGGACCCTCTTTCTGGAACTCTAAGCCAAAAAGATCCTTGTTCTATAAATTGCCTCAGTCATGGTATCTTTCATTTTGTTTTTAATTTCTCTGATGGGCTTGATGTTAACATTAAAACAGTTTCTGATTTTGACTCCTAATACAGTACATTGTTGCACACATTTACATAATATTTGCAGAATCTCTCTTTTCTAATTTTTTCATGCTGGTTGTGACCCGAAGGAAATTTCTTTATCTTTTTTTTGGTTTTTTTTTTTTTTAAGAAAACAAACTATCTTTTTTTCATTTTACATACCAATCCCAGTTCCCACTCCCTCCCCGCCTACCATTCCCTTCACCTTCCTCCCCACCTCCACCTCCATCCACTCCTCAGAGAGGGCAATTTTTTTTTATTACAGCAACAGAAATGCAAGCACGATGTTTACATAAATCCATGGAGTTTACGTTTTAGTGGGGGAAGGACAGGTGACAATGCTCGTATGTAGAAAAAACAAAGGGCGATGCGATTCACAAACAGGGGGATTGCCCAAGCACAAGGTCTGAGTGACATGAAGGACTGAGTTATATGGAGACTTGCAGGAACAGACTAGCTAAGGGGGACAGAAAATGCAAAGCATGATTATACTGTTGTGAAAAGGCAAGAGGTTATCCCAATGAGTGAGGAGACAGAGGCGAGATGACACGGATGGGTGGCTTTGGAGGCTGTGGCTAAGAACTGGCTTTTATCCGAGTGAGATGGGAAATTGCCATAGGCTTTGAGCAGAGGAGTAACATGGCCTACTTTCAAAGGGTCATCCTGATGGTGGAATTTGCTCCAGTATGTGAAGCAAATATGGAAACTTCCAAGGGTGAGTAATTTTCCTACTCTAAAACCAAGAGTAAGTATAACTTAAGTGAAAGGCAAGGAAGGACAGTAACCTGACTGTTGGGGATGTGACTCTAAAGTTCTGAGGTGTGTTCCAGGCTGGAGGTATGAAGTTGTGAATTATCATGGTATTTGTGTTCTTTAATGTTAGAAATGCGGATAAGTTCCCTGAGGAGGGAATGTAGATAGAATGCTAAAGATCGAGGCCTGGAGCATGCTAACACTTAGAGACCAGGAGAAAGAGGAAAGCCCCAACAAGGAGGAGGAAAAGCGGGGGCAATAAGGTAGAACCAGAACTCTGTAAACAGTGCTGCTCTGGTTCGAATCTGAAATGACCTCAACGAGCTCAAAATACCCCCACCTGGTGGCACTATTTTGGGAGGCTGTGGAAACTGTGAAGAGGTTGGCCAGAAGGTCACAAAGGGCAGGACTTTGAAGGTTATGGCGTAGACCTTGGCTCTGCGATGTGAGCGCCACGTGAGCAGCGCTCTTCTGCCACGTGTTCCTCTGCGGCTGGGTCTTCTATCACATGTTCTTCCGAGGCAGGGATGTTCTGCCCATCCACATGGGGTCAAGCAACTATGGACTGAGCCCTCTGAACCAGGAGCTAAATCAAACCTCTTTACATGGTTTCTGTCTGGTATTTAGGTCAGGGAAATACAAAAGCAACCAAGAGTGTCTCAAGGCACAATGGGGGCTATAATGAGAAAAACTAAATGGTAAGAATTCAAGTTAGGACAGGTTGGTATGTCCTTCTGTGAGTTGATTTAGGCTTAACTCGCAAGGGCTTTCTAATTGAGCTGCCCGTAAATAGATCAAGTTGCCTTACGAAGTAATAAGTAAGGCCCTGGCTTCAATAAATCCTGGGAGATTGGTTGCTGGGTAGGTGAGACCTGGCCTCCTCAGGGCTCAGGCATCCTGAAGGGAGTTGGACTAGACAACTCTAATGCTCTTCTGAGAAGAGAACTGAAAGGGCTATTTGTTATACTGCAGGGGTTAGGGGGGTACTCAGTGGGAAAATAAGAAGCAGCAACTCCTGAGGGAGGAAGCAGCATGAGCAAAACTCCCAAGGTGGTGTGTGTGTGTGTGTGTGTGTGTGTGTGTGTGTGTGTGTGTGTGTAGTTGGGCTGGCCAGAAGGGAATGGAGTGTGAAGGACAAGGAGGGAGGTTAGGCTGGAGAAGGATGGAGGATTAGATAGTGGAGAGCTCCCGCAGGGCCCAAGACACTTGCCAGCACTTATTGAAGAAATGAAACATAAATAAAAGAGATTGTAGGAGCCAAAGGAGGTGCTGACTACTTGGTTCCCTTGAGCCAGTTTTCTTCTGACAACTTGGCCCAAGATTTGTTGAGGGCAGGCGTGCCCAATGTTCTGTGCTCTCTGTCCCAATCGGCACTGGGGAAGGTATCCAGAGATGTTTCCTTAATCACCAACCACATAGTTAGCTCCTTGAGAGTTCCAGGGCCCTTTCCTGGGGGCTAGTTCTACTGGTTCACTGCGAGGATGAGGGCAACAGCCTTTGGTAGAAGCAGTAGGTAACGTTGTTTATGAGATGCCACTGGATGGGTTCCTCCCGTCCATTAACAGGACTACTCCACAAACATGGCCCCTGGAATGCCTGGTGGACAGAACCTGGTGACCTTTCCTTTAGAGAACAATGAGGCCTGGGCCTTCTGAGGACTCCTATTGGTGGAGAGATGTGAATTTCTTCTCCCCAGAGCGATAGGGCTGGACGCTAAGGCTGACCTTTATGGATTCCCAAAAGGAGGACCTGAGCCTCCCTGGCAGTAAGTAAGGGACCTCTAGTCCCTGCCCCTCACTTTGTGCCCTTACACATGGGTGACAAATAGGGAAAATATTTTGCATGAACAAAGGAGTAGTGGCTGCTTGGAGTGTTAAGCAATTAGATGATAATCTTTTCTAGAAACATAGGACTCCTGAAATGTTGACTTAGCTCTTCCAATTTCTAGACCTAGTGTTTCTTATCTGTAAATAGCTAAAATGGTCCTTCAAGTAACTTGGAAGTCTAGCAAGAGAATGGGGGAGGGAGGGAAGGAATTGAGAGAGTAATGGTGATGAGGGCAAGAGAGGCATGAGGCCTTACCTGAGCACATTGGATTTCTTTCTCACTGCCTTAGTGTGGGTCTCCTTGTGCGTTGGATTCCTGGGGCTGTGTTCCTCGCTAATAGGCAGCTGCATACTCTTTCTGCATTGGAAGAAGAACTTGCAGAGAGAAGAACAAGCCCAGCAGTGGGTGGAAGTGATGAGAGCTGCCATGTTCACCTACAGCCCACTGTTGTACTGGATAAACAAGCGGCGTCACCACGGCATGAATACAGCCATTAACACTGGCCCTCCCTTTGCTGGCACCAAGACTGAGACCGAAGTTCAGAATTCAGATTCTTTATGGGAGCTGGATATCTCTGAAGGTGGGAACTGTATTGTGCAAGACAGCAGTCCTAGGGGTGAAACCTCTGGTCCATTGCAACATGCTTTGGTGGTTCCAAAGCAGCCCCAACCTTCAACAATGCCACAGCCTCGGACTGACTCCCTAATCCCACTACCCATTTTTCAAGAGGTGCCCTTTGCCCTGTCCCTCCGCAACCTGCCTCCCATGCTGAACCACTCTGTCTCCTACCCTTTGACCAACTGCCCTGAAAAGAAAGTTCATTTCTGTTCCCTCCCCATACTGGTCCAAGAAACAAACTGTTTTAATGCCAAGCCCTTTGCTTCAGAACTGTAGTCTCCTCTCATTGAGGCTGGGAGCTGCAGGTACCAAAGGCTCCTTTTGGTAGAAAGCAGAAATAACCTCAAGGAGTTGGTATTGGCAAAGAGGTTAGAGCCATCTGGACATCACATCAATAAATTTTTTTTTAAAAAAAAGTCTAAGTCTCTCCCCTGTCTCATTAGTTCCTAGAAGGGCAATGTCTTTAGCATGTGACTATAGCACTTTGCAAATCAATCTGCTCACGAGTTTCACTGTTGCATGTTCCGGGAACTGAATGAAGGTTAACATTTGGGAGACATGCTGAACCAATACTTGTGGCTGGACTCAATATCCCTCCATCCAGTATTCAAGCCCAAATGAGTGCTAGGCTCTGACCTAGGTAGGCCTCCAGGCATTGCTGTTCAGCAGGGTGGGAAGCACAGGGGCCATAAGAGGAGAGTTGTTGAGGGCTGTGGTGACCCACGCTGGCTATGTCATAGGCCTAACAAATGCCATGACAGTATAGCTGGACTGTTTATTTGCCATGTATTGATTTTTAGCTGGCTGTCTTTGTCTCTTATTTCTAATATCCCCAAGAAAGGTGCCAACCAGCTGCTATTCAGATCCTCCTGTCAGGAGATGCAGACTCGGGTTCTCCGTGCATATGCCTTCACTGTTGCATGGCTAGCTAGCTCTCCAGTTCACATTTTCCTGGCATCTAACTTCCTAGTAATTCTACCATACCCCATGGTGTATTTGCTTAGCCATGTCTTGTTAGGACACTGGTTAAAAGCATTAGTGTGTGAAGGTTGTCATTAATTGACAGACTGGTTGGTCAGCGCATCTTCTAGAATTACACCTAGTTTGTATCTTATCCTTTCTTTCCTCTTCTTTCATCTTCTTTTTTTGAGATGGGGGCTCACCATATTCCAGGCTGGCTTGTGTATGTTAGGCTACCCTTAAACTCCTGATTCTCCTGCCTCAGTCTTCTGAGTGCTGGATTTCAGGTTTGCATCCTCATACTTGGCCTTATTGCTTATATCTTTAAATTTTTCTTTATGTGTATGGATGTTTTGCCTTCATGTATGTCTCTGCACACTGAAACCAGAAGAGGGCATTAGACTTCCTGGAATTGGAGTTACAGATAATTGTGGACCTCTCTGTGGGCGCTGGGAATTGAACCTGGGTCCTCTGGAAAACCAACCAGTGCTCTTAACCACTGAGCCACTTCTATAGCACCATTTATATATTTCCTATAGATAAACATGGCTCCTCAGAAGTGAAGATTCATTACATGGGAATGTTACTATCTTCTGCAAACAGGCCTTAAACGACTGACAATGATTAACATTACCTATAACACTACCAGTTTTAAGATTAGGATGGCTCAGCCACAGAATAGGAATTTCTCCTTTTCATCCCCTGCTCCCCCGGACCCCAGCACCAGGGATTGAACATGGATTTGTGCATGCCTGGCAAGAGCTCTATCACTGAACTATGTATCTCCAGACATCCTTTCACAAGGGAAATGAGTCAAACCCATGTTTGTAAATGGTGAGTGGAGGGGCCTCAGATTTTGTGTATGTATGGTAAGGGAGAGGATTCCCAGAACTTGATAAATATGTATTTATTTTTTTTTTGCGTGTATATAAAAGTCCCAGTCCTGTCTATACAAACTCTCTAGCAATGGGTTTTAGGCCCTTATCTTTCTTTTTTACTTCCTCCAATCCAATGGAACTTTTTTTTTTTTTTTAAAAAAAACATGCTCTTTATATTGAATCTGAAAACATAAACAGGTCCACGTGGAGCTTCTGATGGGCACCAGTGCAGCCTCAGGCCTCGCCCCACCTTGCTCCCTCTCATCCTGAATCTGCCCAAAGCCTGAGCTCTGCAGCCTTCACTACTCAGGTCAAACACTGTAATCCTTTCATGTCTTCTTTGAAAAACAAAACAAGCAAACAAAAAACCAACAATGAATTTCATTAGGGATGCTTACCAGTGGCTACACTACTTACAAAAATAAATGTCCCATCCAGGACAACCATGAACTGCATTTAAGTCCTCAGGGAGGGGTGGGGGCCTCATGAGCTCCTTTCCTGACCCATGACCGGATGTTGGCAGGTCCAGTCTTTTGTAGGTGATCACAACTACAGTGGGTCTGAGAGCACAAAGCCATATCAAGTTCAATGTTAGTATTCTATACCCTCCCCTACTTCCTCCAGCTCGTGTATTCTGTCTACCCCTTCTACAATGGGCCTTGAGCCTGGAGAGGACATGTCTCAATTATGGATGGACATTCAACCCTCACTTTGGGTGGTTATGAGTCTCTATAGTACGGCCTATGACCTTCCCAGCCACAGGGTTTTAGTTGGGCTTATGATACTAGTCATGAGTTCCCTTAAGTGGGCACATCTTGCCTGGTGGTTGGTAGCACGGTACACAGGATCTACAGCTGACTGTTGATGGCTTTTCTCTCCCCGCAGCCTGGAGAGACCTCCATGCATTATGAGGGCTACCTATCCATTAGGAAGGAAGCTTCCTGCCCAGTTCCAACTTGATTTCTGTCCTGTGAACAGAGTATGTGGTATCTTCAGCAAAGGAGTGTTGCAGGCGGGTCCCACAAAGGGGTCTGGCAGGTAGCCAACAGCAGAGATAATTCTTGCAGGGTTTTTTTTTTTTTTGCTTCAGGAGCCTTCTTGACAAAACATGGTAATTCCTAAGGCAGAGTCTTGAATACTGTCTTGTGATACTATTAACTTTTGATTTCAAGAGGAGGCAGAAAGCAGTTCACAAAAATAGGGATTAAGACAGGTTTTTCTCCCTTTAATAATCAGGGAAATGGAAGATTTTAGTCAGACACAGTGAGAGAAAGGAAATGTTTTATTTAAATTAAAATGGCCATACTGATAGGAAGTCAGTAAAGCTCAAATGAAATCATGGAAACCTTGAATCCACTCCCTAAACAGAACCAAAATTGCTTATACATTACCAAAATAGCTCCATTAATATAAAGTAGACTTACATTTCTTAATATGAGAAAACAACAAGGTAGGTTAGGTTCATATAACAAACAATACATGCTCTCTCAAGTCTCAGGAATACCCAAATGTATTCTGGCTTGACTATGAGAGAAGGGACCACATCTAGATGGCTGGTAAGCAAGCCAATGAGGTGTGTAGCAAACAAAAGCTGTCACTAAAAACAACTCAACAGGCCATTATGAGTGTGAGCCTATCACAAACAAAATCTTCAACTGTGACCGCTGGGACCAGAGAGGGAGGCTGATAGGGCTGTGTGAAATGACAAAGAGAAGGCTATGGTGGAAGGGGAAAGAGCAGGCAGTGAAATCCGACTGTCCACTCCTCAGCTCTTTCGCATCAGACTCATTCAAGTGCCAAGCGTTGTTCTGCTTCTTAAATGTCACTGCAGTCATCTCTAAGCTAGGCCCTTTTTTTTGAGACAAGATCTCACTGTGTAACCCAGACTGGACTAGAACTCATTATTTTCCTGCCTCAGGCTCCCAGGGGCTGGAGTGATAAGCATGTACTACCACGAATAGCTTGAGGAAGATTATTCAGCAAATATAATGCTAGATGGTACACAGCAATGAAGCAAAGGGCCAAGGAACAATGCTTTAAGAAACTAAGGTGGTAAGCACTCAAGAGCTGCTGATTGGCAAGGCCACAGGATTTAAACCCAAAGCCAAACTCACCACCACCATCCGGTTCTTCTCTTAGAGGTGATCTGTGGCTGGTGAAGCCTGACTAAAACAAGGCACCGATGCACAAGTTAACAGCATACAAATGAAAACCCCAGTCTGCACTGAGTGATAGGCGTCTGAGGCTCCTAAGCCAGTGAGTCTCTCCAGTTTTTAGCAAAGGAGGATAAGATACCTACCTCTACCCTGGAGATCTGGTAATGCCTCAGGCAGGATGAGTTATCATAGGCTAGAGGACAGTAATGGATACCTCTGGTCAACTTGGTAGGGTAGGGTAGGGGACAATGCATGGCTCGGGGGTAAGGCTGGCAGACAAGCTTGAAGGAGGAAGAACAGAAGAAAGACCAAGAAACAAACCCTGCTTCTCCCCTGAAAGCATATACCACAAAGAGTTAAGGTGTCTTGAAAGTATCTGCCTACAAATAAAAACTTAAAACTAAAAAGGACAAGCTACATTACCCTCAGTATATATCATATAAATCAGTTCTCAAAAAAAAATACCTTCCAGGTACAGACATACTATTTATGTTACAATATATACAAATATAGCAGAATAATTCAATTTATTGCTAGAACTTTATTTGGTTATTACAAAATCTGTATGGGTATATACCTATATATTAAAAAGAGGGGAGTACAGAAGGCAGCCAGAAGAGCAAGAGTTACCTTCGAGTTACGAAAGTGCCAGGCTAATGTTGAAGTGTATTTTCAACCTTTCCAAGAAAGTGACAGCCTAGATGGGCAAGGCAAATGTTAAGGCAAAAACTTTAAAGAGGAAGAAACATGAGATAAGAAGACAAACACAAAAAAACTTTATCTTGCCTTCACTGAGTTTTAATATGTCTAGGGAAAAGAAGTCAACACCAAGATGAATAGCATGTAAAGGAAATAAAATACAAAAATAAACCAAAGCAAACCCAAACATCTTTAAAGGTTTAAGGGTACTAGACTATCCACAGCTGACGGGGCAACTGGAACACAATTACACAGGAATGATCAGTACTAAAGAAGCCCGCAGCACCGCAGCTTCTCCAGTGTTTCCCTGACTGGCTACGGTGAAGGGAGGTTCTGTGTGGTCTTCCTCTCATGTTGCCAGAGACACCTAAGAACAACACTGGAAGTGTTCTCAACATATAGTGACATTGGTGATTTCCTTCTAGTCAGACCTTTTGTGACTTGCTCACAAAGTATGCAAACGGGGAAGCATTGTACTTGTTTTTTAGATCTGGAAAAACTGCCAACATCACCGGAAGGCCCCTGCTCCAAGCCTGCTTGGCACTGTGGCATCCTCTGGACAGAGAACCTACAGCTACTTCTGAGTGGACACCGGTGAGCAGAGCATAGGATTTCACATTTCATTTGACTGCATTTGCCTTACAGTGTCCTGACAAGAAATAAAACAAGTTCTTGGTTAGCTCAGAGGTAAAATTCCAGATGGTGTTGTTTCCTGAGTCAAAACTCAGAGCTGTTCTCTAATGCTCTGCAACCACTTTGATATAGTGACCAGGGACATGAGCCTTTGCCTTCCAGACTGGAGATGGTGCCACAGGTAGGCAGTTACAACTTTAAGGTAGTCTTGAGTGTGTTGGTAGAGAAGACAAAATCTAGCCTGCTCGAGGGGAAAACGTAATTCCCCACCGAATAACCTTTATGCTCATAAACCTTGAGAGATAATTAAAAATGAGGGAAATCCCAACAAGACTTTTCTGATTTTTATGTTAGGAATAGAAGCAATAACCTGGAGTCTGATTTTCCTGCACCTGGAGCTGGCATCCTCTGCACAGCTTCCACTCAGTGAATTGATGCCCCAGCTCCCAGACCAAACAAACCGGATGGTGGCACCAAGGCCTTTGAGGGTTACCTGAACGAGATGTGAACAGCTTCAGCTGCCACTCAGAGCAGACTGTCAATCACACACAAATCATTTGTTCATCCTGTTCAAAGCCCTTCTTCTGACTCAATACAATATGCACAATCTTTCATTTTATGTATTTATAAACAGAAAAGACTCATCTTTCAAAGAAAAGACATATTCTGAGGCTCTATAAAGTGCAGCTAATTTAAGGCAAATTCATATGAAATATAAACAGTGACTTATTATCTCTATATATACACTTTGCAACTTTAAAAGATAAAGTCTCTTCCCCTCAAAAACAGGAAAGAGATAGAGGGCTTTATTATTTTTCTCCTGGCAACTTTTAAGTTACAAGATATTTCTGGCTTCAGGAAATCATAGATTTCCAAACATCATATTATAAGTATTTTTTTTAAAAAAATAACTTTTTTAAATAGCATTTTCAAACATGTTAAAAGGTGGCAATGTGTCTGCTACAACAGTGTGAAGGGCTGGAAGGCTGATGGATAAGTCAAGAGGATTTTTCTTTTAGGTAAGTAGATTTTAGGTAGTCCAGGGTACAAATCCATTTCAAAATATGCCTGTCGATACTAGATACCTAAAGCTACTCTTAGCTCTTGGAAGGAGTATCTTCCATCTCCATTGGAATCAAAGGCTCTCAAGCTCTCCGGTCTTGGCATGCCAGAACCTAGGGAATTCCAGATTTCCTGATAGGTCAGCATCCCATCCACCGCATCTTGACCAGCCTTGTGGAATAAATCCTGAAGGTCTGTTAAACAGGAATTAAAAAGCAGACATTAGATGTTTGTGCACACAGTTAAAAGTAGCTTCAGCTGTTTCCAAAGCATTAAAAGAAAAGCTACTTTGCCAGGTGTGGTGTCAAATACATTTAATTGTAGCATTTGGGAGTGGGTGGGTAGAGGCAGGCAGATCTCTTTGGATTTGAGAATAGCCTACATAGTAAGTTCCAGGCCAGCCAAGGATACATGGTGAGATCTTTTCACCATGCAAACAAACCTTTCCCCTACAAAACAAAACAGCTCTCCCAACTTTGCTTCAAAAAATGTTCTTTGGGGCTGGAGAGATGGATCAGAGTCAAGTTTCCCATCAGGTCCAGGGGACCAAACGCCCTCTTTTAGTCTCCAAGTACACCCCCTCCAATACCTAACAGTTAGTTTCCTTCCTCTTCTCTCTGCCCCTCTTTCTCTCTCTCATACATACACACCAGAACTAGTTGCAGATTTTGACTACAAAAGATAAGATTTATGATCTCATTAAATCAGAATGACCAGGCGGGAAGATGGCTCAGTGGTTGAAGTGCTTGGCATCAAGCAAGAAGACCAGAGTTTGGATACCCAGAATAGAGGCAAGTGCTATGAGGGCATAATAGCCTTTCTGTAATCCAGCCTCAGAAAATGGTGACAGGATCCCCAGAGCAAGCTGGCTATGGAGACTGGCCCTACCGACCAACTCTGAGTTTGGCAACAATAAATATTTTTTTAATATTCATTTTATTTATTATGTATACAATATTCTGTCTACGTGTATGCCTTCAAATCAGAAGAGGGCACCAGACCTCATTACAGAGGGTTGTGAACCACCATGTGGTTGCTGGGATTTGAACTCAGGACCTTCAGAAGAGCAGGCAATGCTCTTAACTGCTGAGCCATCTCTACAGCCCCAAGTAAAGAATTTTTAAACATTTAGTGACCAAATGTTAAATAAGAGTCATATGTTTAACAAGTCTGAGGTGTTTTGGGGAGTGTTAATTTGCAGGACACAATTGTACTGGCACATGCACGTACACTTTGTGGTGGATGTGCTTCTGGGGGTGTTAGTCTGCAGGACACAATTGGACTGGCACATAACATGTACACTTTGCAGGGCATGTGTCCCTATGCCACACACTAGCAAATGCTGCACTTTGCTTTGGATTTGAGACTATTATATGCTGTGAACTGCAGTGTTTTTATTGTATATACCAAGTTTTCTCTTCTTATAGAAACATAATGGTTTGTAGAAAACAAAGGCTTTTAATATTTTCTTGCTATTATTCTTTAGCATGTATCAAATCAGTACATCTTTTGATTGCATTGTGTTAGAATGTTTGATTTTTAAAATTGCTATTTGAGTTGCTGACTTGAGTTTCCAATTTCTGAAATGGTCCTAAAGATACTTTTGCTATATTGTACTACATATTTATGTGAGCTGCATTCTCAGTACTGCTGATTATAAAATACAAAGATCAACCAACTTTGAAAAACACTGAAGTGTATCAAATATGGTTGGCTACAGATTTTCATGTTACCTAGTAGGACTCTTTCTACTATGTAGCATTGTCTTTCTGGATCCAGAAATTAAGTAGCTCAAGAATCAGGGACTTGAGAGAAAGATAAACACAGGAGGGAGGAGGGTAAAATAGGTAAGGATATCTGAAAAAGTCAAAAGGAATCATACTATTAACTACTTATCTAAACAAACCCTATAATATACATATGTCTTGTGTAAATATACATATATAGTTTGAATAAAATTTTCTCACCTGGGCTGATAATGCTCTCTCCAAAAGCCAAAGACCATCTAGAAAAACCTCAACATCAGGCATAAGAAGTTCTTTTTTGGTTGGTCGGTTTTGTTCAAGGACTCCCCAAAACATACAGGCTATTGCCACTGCTCTTGGTTGCCTTCCTCCCACCCCAGAGGTGGATGGTAATCCATAATGCTGAAAACACTGTGCACTTCAGATGCAGAGTCCAAAAGCCCTTGAGGTGGAACTGACCCAAAAGCCTCCTTCCTAAGGATTAGCTTTTTTAGTACCAGAGGTGCCAATTAAGCTTCCAAAGGAAGGAAGCCACCAAGAGTGCTACCCTGCTTTGATGCCTATGAAACACAATGATGACCAGCATGGCATAAGAACCTCAAGAGTGCTGTAGTGGCATGGATACCTTGCCAATAACCATCAGCTCTCTAACTCGACTTAATAATAGCTGCTTAAGTTAGGAGGGAAATTATGCCTAACATTGGAAACTTAGTCAACTACCTATGATGCGGGAGAATTGTCTGTATTCTGTCAATCATATTTTAATAAAATGCTGATTGGCCAGGCAGGCAGTATAGGCGGGAAACCAGACAGGAAGTAGGGGTGGAGCAAAGAGACTGGGAGTATTCTGGGAAGCAGGAAGCTCCCTCCTCCATTCTTGCCCAGACCACCGAAGAGGCATCATGTGAGCTGTCACACTGAGAAAGGTACTGAGCCGTGTGGCTAACATAGATAATGGATTAATATAAATTACAAGGACTAATAAGAAGCCTGACCTAATGGGCCAATCAGTTTATAATCTTATGGAGTCCTGTGTGTGATTTTCCTTGGGGTATGCCGGCTGTGGGGTACCAAGTGGGACAGAAACCCCAACTAGCCAGCCCTCATGTTACATACCTAGGCCTAGTTAAGTTACAGACTTTGGAGGAGAACCTCTAACCAGCATAATTCCTAACAATACACAGGTAAGGGTAGTAGAAATTTCCTTTATCAAGGATAGTTCTATTGGCAACAAGCAGAAAGCATTAGTGAAAACTACAACCAATAAAAATGCAGAGTTGTGAAGCCCAGTCCCAATGGGTACAAAACAACTCCCATATCTAAGGCTCAGGGAACACTGCAGAAGACACACCATAAAGTCTTTTTTTTCTTCTGGTTTTTTGAGACAGGGTTTCTCTGTAGCTTTGGAACCTTGGAACCTGTCCTGGAACTAGCTGTTGTAGACCAGGCTACAACACAGAGAGATCCGCCTGCCTCTGCCTCCTGAGTGCTGGGATATAGGCATGCACCACCACCGCCCGGCTTTATAAAGTCTTACCAATAGACATGTTTAAATATGAACTGAACAAGGACAACAACAGACATGCCAAAGTGGATGGGGAAAGCCCACGAAGCTTCAACCATACAAAAGAACTCCAGGCAACTAAGGAGTGCAGAGAGTAGGAGAAATAGACTTTCCAGGGAAGAGCACACCAATTGGTTATCTAAGACCAAATGGTCACTCCTGAAAACACACACATGAGTAACATTATACAGACTGAGCAGGTTATATTTAGAAACACACACACACACACACACACACACACACACACACGCAACAATTAATGAATAAAAGAGGCCATAAAGTTGAAAGAGAGCAAGGAGGGGAATATGGGAGGTTTTGGAGGGAGGAAAGAAAAGGAGGAGTTGATGCAATTATAATCCAAAAATAAAAGAAATTAAAAAAAGATCAAGATCACAAACTACTTTATGGCCACTAGCACAGCCACCATCAAGAAACGTAGGGAAAGTGGACTGATTCATTATACATGGCTACTGGTAGACACATTCTGAACAATGGTTTGGCAGTTCAAGAATTAGGTGACCTAGAAGCTGAAAAAACCTTCGACAAAATACAACACCCCTTCATGATAAAAGACTTGGAGAGAGCAGGGATACAAAGGACATACCTAAACATAATAAAGGCGATATACAGCAAGCCACAGCCAACATCAAACTAAATGGAGAGAAACTCCCAGCGATCCCACTGAAATCAGGAATAAGAAAAGGTTTGTCCACTCTTTCCATATCTATTCAATATAGTACTTGAGGTTCTAGCTAAAACAACAGAAGGAGATCAAGAGAATGCAAATTGGAAAAGAAGGATTCAAACTCTCACTGGGCTCCTGGAGCCAGAAGAGCAGATGGGACACTTCCTCCCAGTGCCCAACACTAGATGGAAAGTCTTTTTCTTTCTTTCTTTCTTTCTTTCTTTCTTTCTTTCTTTCTTTCTTTCTTTCTTTCTTTCTTTTCTTCCTTCCTTTTTTTTTTTAAAAGAAAATAACTTATTTATCTAGTGTGGTGTCACATGCCTTTAATCCCAGCACTTGGGAGGCAGAGGCAGCCAGCCTGATCTACAGAGTAAGTTCCAGGATAGCCAGGGCTGTTACACAGAGAATCTCGCAAAACACAAAACAAAAAATGACTTATTTAACTTTATTGTACGTGTACTGGTGTGAAGGTGTCAGATCCTCTGGAACTGGAGTTACAGACAGTTGTGAGCTGCCATGTGGGTGCTGGGAATTGAACCCTCATCTTCTGGAAGAGCAGCCAGTGCTCTTAACCACTGAGCCATCTCTCCAGCCCCAGAAATTCTTTTTAATAGAGAGTAAATACAATGACTACCCTTACTCTCCAGAAGACAAAGGAAAACTACCAGAGGCAGGAGAAAAGAACATTTAAGCGTTAATGAATTGCAGCATGTAAGCAACTCATTCATTCAGTTACACAATCATGTCTACCAGGCTCTGAGCTGCAGGTTAGGGAGTGAAGAGGACAGATACTTTACTCATGGAAGCTAAATTTTGTTTCTTCCCAGGGAACTTCAATAGAGTAGCATATGCAAAGCAGGAACAAACGAAACAAATCGTAATGTATAGGAAGTGTCTATTCCAGGCCTGGGACACAATGCACAAGGGCATCTAAGGTAAAGTGAAGAGCCAGTGAAAGGTATGTGACCAGAACTGGGTGATTTTCCAGACAGCCTAAGAACCACAGGAGGCCTCAATTTTACAATGAAGAGTAGAAGGCCTTACTGAAACAAGGCAAACATCATCCTGTGAAACTCATGGGTATTTATTTTGCTCATTGCCCTCCAAGAGGGCCCTGAAAACAGTCAACTTTGACTTATTTTGCTAATCTCAGAATTGTTTTGGCTTTTTTATGTTCTCTGCATTAGACAACATATCCACGAGGAAAGAAAAGACTTTCTTTGGAGACACATTCTTACTATATATACCACAAGCTGGCCTCAATTTCTTTATCTTTGTGCCTCAGCCTCCTGAGTGCTGGTATTAGAGACCTGTGCCACTGTGTCTGGCTCAGACTGTATCTTACAGTGTATCCCCATTCTTTGACTGAACACCTTAAAAAACATTGAAAGACACTATGGAGGCTTTGGAGACAGCCTCAGTTTGAATTCTGTCTCAACCAATTAGCTGCTGTTCAGACTTCTGTAGCTGGCCCAATAATATTACATATAAAATGTGTGTGTAATGTGTTCCTGTGTGTTTGCAGGCACGTGGAGGCCAGAGGACAACTTCAGCTGTCACTCCTCAGACAATGTGTACCTTCTAAAAATTGGTATTATGTGTGGGCATATACATGTCACGTGTGAAGGTCAGAGGACAACTCCAGAGTCATCTCTCCTCTCTCACCTTAGTTGGTTCTGGGGTTTGCACTTAGGTCACCAGGCTATAAATGCTGTTACCCACTGAGCCATCTCTCTGGTCCCTGTTCACCTTTTTGTTTTTGAGAAAGTATTTCTCACTAGCTTGGAACTCAACAAGCAGGTTAGGCTGGCTGGACACTGAGCCCCCAGGATCCGCTGTCTCCACATGCCCAGTGTGTGCCACCACTCCTGTTTTATGTGTGTTTGTTTACACGTGTTCTGGGAACCGAACTCAGTCTCTACCACCTGAGCCATCTCTCCAGTCCATCAGATAGGCTTTTATTTTTAAACAAGAAAACATTAAAAAACTATAACAGTTACAGTGTTGAACATTTCCATCATTAACGTTACCTTTGATGCTAGAAATCCCTGGTAGGGAGATAGGTTTTAGCTGGGTCTCAATTTGGTCTCCAAGAAAGTGTGAAAATTTTGGCAGCGTTGACGGATCTGATGTGAAGTTCTGTACTTGCTCTGTGACAAACATACACACTTTTATTACAATCAGTTCTAACACCAAATTAAACTAGTATTGAACGTCACCTTTTAGGACAATAGCACACATATTCAACTTCAGAGTAGCTGAGAGTTAAAGGCATGGACTGAGGGATGTTTGTGGACAAGTCAGGAGGAATCAGTATTACATTAAGGTCTGAAAAAGAACCGTGCACAGTTTGAGTAGCCCTAATCTGAAATGCCCCCAAATTGAAAGCTTTCAGAGTATAGACACAGGTGGAAAATTCCACACAACTTCATGTGATGGTCACAGTCAATTAAAGGTGACCTAATAATACAAATAAAATTAACACCATGCCACATGTATATGGATAATGCATATATGAAATATGAATGAATTTTTTTTTCGAGATGGTTTTTCTGTGTAGCCTTGGCTGTCCTGGAACTTACTCTGTAGACCAGAACTAACAGAGATCTGCTTGCCTCTGTCTCCCGAGTGCTGGGAATAAAGGCGTGTACCACCACTGCCGAGCATGAATGATTTTTGTAACTCAAAGATAACCTGCTAATACCCCCCAAAAGGAAAGAACCCCAAATTGATAATACTTTAGGCCCCATAAGTAAGAATAGGATATTATTAGATAAGGAATACTCAAGCTATAGTACAGCCTCCATCATTTATGCTAGATACTAAGACTTTAGTTGGATAAGTCTTTTGACTTTTTGGGAAACAGGCTGTTAAGTCTGATCTGGGGGCCTGAGCCATGTTACCATAAGATAATGTTAAGGGAAGGCCTTCAATGTATTTCTGTTTCTTACAGGAGAGAATCTAAGGGAATATCTCCTACATCTCCAAAGCTGAAGAATGCTTGAGGCGGGGAGTTTAAAGCCAATACTGTCTAATACCGTGTTCTATCCTCACAAGGCCTAAATCAGTAGATGGTTAATTAATGCATCTGATAATATTGATTGTGTCCTTACCTACAGCCAAGTGGCCTAAAAATGGAATAATTTCATCATTACATGTTAATGACTTTCAGGAGGACTAATATTTATTTTTAAGTAAATTTTATGCACTCACAATAACAGAAACATAACATTTAGGGCTGGTTTAATATAAGCTATGACAGTAACATTTTTGCCTATAATTGGATGCAGACAGCATGGAGAAGTCTATTTCCAGCTAAACATTACCCGTTCTCCCCTTAATAGACTGGAGTACAAATCAAGTACAAAATGGGCTTTTGCTAAATGAAAGTGAAGTGCATCAGCCTCATCTCTGTGCGCTCAGGCATCACTCACTCGCTTTCATCAGTGCTGGCGGACACCGTCCCTACTCCCTGTGCGGGAGGCAGGCAGGCTGCCCAAGCCTGCGTGAAATATTCAGAAGCCAGCTGGCTGCTCACCTCCCTCTGCGGTCTCCGGAGCCCTGTTGCTTCCAGGTTTGTTTGTGAGAGCACTGATCAGCTGCAGTTTTTCTCGCAGCTTGGACACCTGAGAATTTGAATTATCTTCTTTCTGCTCAAAACAAAGATCAGAGAGATTTAAGGTAGAAGTGACTCCTAACTGGAGACTCGGCTGTATTCCCAGAACACATTTCGCATGGAGAGTCTGACCTTTACCAGGATCCCTCTAAAGTCAGTAATGGATGGGCAAACACTGGGCTGTCTTTGGGGCAGCACTGATGAGTGTGTAGCTGGATTTATGCTAGACCATTAAGGACACATTATGTTCTCCACGATCTGTTTCACCATGAACATCCCATTGACAGGGGAAGGCACGCACGTGTCAGCAGAAAAGAAAGATTTTCTTCTCTCAGTGAAGAAAATGTGCCCTTTCTCAGGTGTCCATGCCACACCTGCTTCCTAGAAGATGGGGGCGACTGTTTCCTGGAGCTATTTTACACTAACTAAAAAATGGCCTCAGATATCACCTTATGATCACGTCATCTGAAGCAAAACTTAAAAAAAAAAAAGGCAGAGGAACTCAATCAAACCACAAGCTTTTTTACAGGATCCGGCCAGTACCCCTACTGTAAAGATCCAACTGGTGGCAGGAACTGTCAGAGACAAGAAAAAGGAGTTGGGATATTTCTAATTTAAACTGTTACCCGAGTTTGCCTTCTTTCCAACTAAATCTAGAATGGCATATAAAAAAATAGATTTAACTGCAAAGAGGAAAGCCTGCTTTTCCTGTGGCTAGTGTCTGCTTACTGTATGAAAAGGCCTGGTCCTATGTTTAGGAGAACCACTGCATCTCATTTCTTATACTCAGAGTTTATACATCCCTTTCCTATCTTTACTCCTACCCTACTAGTTACTGTGCAGTGAATACTTAGTTTATTTAGGGAAATACAATATGGACATATGAATGAAACTAGATACTAAATGTTTACTGCCAGGAGAAAATGAATCTGGCTAGGATGCTTTGATGAACTAACATGAAGAGACTGATCAACTGGCATAAAACGCAAAGGATCTAAAAGTGAAGCCAAGAGATTTAGGCAGAAATACAGTGCTATGTTCTGACCTGACTGTTAAAATGTGACTTACTATGGAAATCATGCTGTGGGATGTTCTTCTGTATACGTGTTGCTTTTATTGGTTGGTGAAAAAAGCTGTTTTGGCCAATGGCTTAGCAGAGCAAAGTCAGGTGGGAAATCCTAACAGAGATATAGAGAGAAAGTAGGTGGAGTCAAAGAGGCACCATGGAGCTGCTGAAGGAGACAGAAGCCGGATCCTTACCAGTAAGCCACAACCTCATGCCGATATACAGATTAATAAAAATGGTTAATTTAAGAGGTAAGAGTTATTTAATAAGAAGCCCAAGCTAATAGGCCAAGCAGTGTTGTAATTAATATACTTTCTGTGTGATTATTCAAGTGAGTAGTCACTGCCTACAAATTGCGTGCCAACTGTGGGGCAACTAAATCCACATAAAAACTGAGAGAGCTTGGGAAGGAATTCTAGACACAAAAGAACAGAGTTAAGCACAGCTTCTTGGTAGCTGCATTTTTTTCAGATAGGCTCTGTTTGCTGGCAGCAAGCAGAGGTGCAGCTCCTCTAAGAGAAGGCTTCCTGACTCAGTATTAGCAGTAAAAACTGCATGGCTTCTTTAAGAAATGGCAGCTTCCTGATTTGTGCTGGTAGCGTGAACTCTGGCTCCTTAATGAGGTCCTGCACTTAAATGGGGTTTGTAAGCAGCATGCTACAACTTGCTTAATGGTAACATAGACGTGCTGCATCCCTGGAGCTGGGGCAATGAGCACGGCTCGCAGGCAGAGGCAGTGAACGTACCTCCACCATATTAAAAGGCCAAGAGAGGCGGAACCAGCATCCAGGGCTGCCGCAATCACACTGCTTAACATTTTAAAACGTTACTTGTCAGAAAAGAATTTCAGATATAAAACAGGACAAATTCAGACATAAAAGACCTCTAAACGAGACACAGTGTGTTTAAAAAATGTACGTAGGTTTGAGAGAGGAAAAAGTATATAGACAGTTATAAAAAAATAGTTTTAAAAAATAAAACAAGTCTTTACAGTGATAGCAAAAGTAATATAAAAAGAGTACAAACAGTCATAGATTAAAGGAGTAAAGAAAAATAAGTCACATAAAGATGGAATATATACCGAGAGTCTGGATTATGTATATTATTGTGTTTTCTTTGACTTTTTTGGCTGCAGAGAGTTATATGATTGTGGGGGCTGATAAATTAAACCAACACATATATTTTAAAAGTATCTTGACTTGGAAATTTGGGTCTAAGGATATGTTGCTTTGGAAAACAGGTTCTGCTTTTGTTTCTACAAAGGATGGGAACCTGTGGATTCCTACCAAACTAATGTGGTTTGATGGAACAAGATCCCCCTGATAGGTCTCCATGATCCCTAAAAATACTTTGCCCAACAAAGAACAGGAAGTAGTTTGGAGAGAACAACTCCCAAATTCCCAAAATGACTGTTTATAAATTATTGTTTTCATTTAAAGAGGGTTGATTATACATGATTAAAGTTCAGAGTCAATTTCTAAAAAAAAAGTGGGGGGATATTATATGGAGATGAATACTTTGCAGTGGTATGGATCTTGGTCTACTGGTAGAAATTTAAGGTTGATTTTGTTACACTGTGTTTATGTATTTATGCTCTTGTTTAAGGTAAATACCTATATAATATGGCATTTAAAATGTTTTAAGAACTCAGACTTTTTTTTAACAGTGAGACATATCTGCTTCTGGCAGCACCAATTACTTCAGAGAGGTTGATGGGCATTGAAGAAACTTATTATGGAATTTGCCTTCAATGTGACAAGGCTAGCCATTTGGGCAAGAAACTGCTCTTGCCCGGACTGCTTTATGGTATGCTATATGAATTGGATAAAAGATAAATTAGATATGAAACTTTAGATTCACAAAGACAGGATATTATTTTCCTTAATTTGACAAATATAAATGGACTAAATATTATAACTATAATTCTTGCTTGATACCTGTTTTGTTATATGTAATTTTACTATGTTAAAGTTAAAACCTTCCTTTTTATTTAAATAGAAAAGGGGAAAAGGGGAAATGATGTGGGATATCCTTCTGTATGTGTTGTTTTTATTAGTTGATGAATAAAGCTGTTTTGGTCAATGGTTTAGCAGAGCAAAACTAGGCAGGAAATCTGAACAGAAATACACACACACACACACACACACACACACACACACAGTAGGCAGAGTCATGGAGACATCACGTAGCTGCTGAAGGAGACAGATGCTGGAACCTTACTGGTAGGCTACAGCCTTGGGGTGGATACATAGATTAATAAATGGGTTAATTTAAGATGTAAGAGTTAGTTAATAAGAAGCCTGGGCTAATAGGTCAAGTAGTATTGTAATTAACATAGTTTCTGTGTGATTATTTGGATCTGAGCAGTTGGGAAATGAGCAAGCAGTCTCTATCTACACCCAGAGTTTACACATCCCTATCTTTACTCCTACTAGCTACTGTGCAGTGGATACTTAGTTTATTTAGGGAAATACAATACGGACATATGAATGAAACTAAGATGCTAAATGCTTTGATGAACTAATATGAAGAGACTGATCAAATGGCATGAAGTTATAAGACACAAAGGATCTAAAAGTGAAGCCAAGAGATTTAGGCAGAAATGCAGTACTGCGTTCTGACCTGACTGCTAAAATGTGACTTACTATGGAAATCACTACTAATTTCTAATAGTAACCATCTGTTATTTTGTGTGTGTATGTTCAACCTTTAAATCTGGCTCTTACTATCTTCTTGTCATTCTCTAAGAGAGGTTTCTAAGATTGAGAAATGCACAGAAACAGTTTAAAAACTTAATAAAAGCCTACCTTATGATGCATCAAAATCTTAAATATACACAACTTTACCTAGATACTTGCTAAGGATAAAACTGCTAGCTAAAATTACTAAGGATGAAAAAGTAGATAGAAAGCTTTCCATCAAAAGCTTGCACAATATGACTTCAGCCACGTTCATCTCCTATGAACTTCCTATCCTCTGAACTCAAATACTGTGTGTATCTCAGATGACGCTGTAGTCACTGTCACCTCTTCCTGGCTTTCTCTTCATCTCAGCAGGACTTAAAAGGCTTACGAAAGTGTTGAGAATGCAATTTAAAGGTGAAATGAGTTTTAAGCTGGACACCATTTTTAGATTATCTATGCCTCTGTCCCTTATCATTAGTTTAGATAACTGTGCTAAACTAGAGTTTCCTGGGAAGAGGAAACCTCAGCTGAGGAACTGCCTCCGTTAGACTGGCCTGTGAACAGTATATGGGACATTTTCTTAATTGCTAATTGAGGAAGGAGAGCCCAACCCACTGAAGGTGGTGAAACCCCTAGGCAGGTGGGCCTGAACTGTACAGAAAAGGAGCTGAGCAAGCCAGAGGAAACAACCCGGTAAGTGGTGTTCCTCCGTAGTTTCTGCTTCAAGCTCTTGCTTTGGCTTCCCTTGATAATGGACTGTAACCCATGTGATGTAATACACCTTCCTCCCCGTGTTGTTTTTGATCGTGGTCACAGTAATAAAAGCAGACGAGGACAATAACTGTCTTAGCTTAAAAGCCGTTTCCTTAGGAAAGCCCACCTAATCCCTACGCTTTCCTGCTGTAGTACTTACCAGACTGGCAATTAAGAATCTGTTCAGTTTTGTGGGCTGTCCCACGAAAGGGGCCACATATCTGCCTTACTCACTGTGGCCATCCCAGCTCCCAGTAAAGTCTGAGCACAAGGTAGGTGTCTGATGTCCTATTCATCCACTCACTAATATCCTAATGTACTAACCGCTCTGCCCTGGAATTTACCACAAGAGATCAAATGCTCCTCTTAGAGGGAACAGCATACAGATTCTGATGCTTTTGTTTTACTTTATGGGAGCTTCCTGTTTACTGTTATGCTCTGGGCCTTTACAGTATCAGTTCTGTTGTTCACCAAAGACTTCCTTTTCAGAGTGGCAGCCCTATTACTCACCTTAGAGGGTAAAGAAAAGAGAAGAAAAGGTTAAAGAGAAACATTAAAACTTGAATGACATGAAATACTTTCGTGTGTCTGTATGGTGTACGTATGTGTTCGTATGAGTGTGTGCGTGCACGTGTGTGTGCGTATAGGCAGAGGCTGACAATCATCAGTCACTGAAACTGGAGCTTGCCATTTTGAGTAAGGTGGCTGGCCAATGAGCTCCAGGAATCTGTCTGTCTATGTTTCCCCCCAGAACTAATGGGTTTCAGATTCATGCCAGGGTGTCCAGCTTTTATGTGGGTGCTGGGGGTCTGAACTCAGGTCTTCAAGCTTGTGTGGCAGGCACTTTATCAATTGAGCCATCTCTCCAACTGACACTTACTTAATACTTCTTAATCAAATCGGTCAAGTTTCTTGAAAGGATCTGAACCACTTTAAACACAGATGGAAAAGGAGTAGGAGAACAGAAGAGAGTGGAGACGGCACAAGAAGATATAGTGGAAACAGAGGCTTCCAAATGTCTTAGTCACAAACTTAAAAACTGAAGTATAAAAGGCAACAGAACTTCTACCCAGATCCAGGCTTGGTCTGATGCTTTGGAAGAAATAGCAGGACAGATGGCTACTATTACCAACTATCTTTGCTGGATTAAAAATAAGAAGGGGGTTGGGGTGGTAAGTTTTCACAGTAAGCCTTGAAAACCCTGCAAGGCACATTATTCAACAAATCATTCAAAGTTCTCAGTTCCTACTTAGCTTAGCTGAGTTCAAAAGGGCTTTAAGAACTAGGACTCCTTTAATCTTCACAGCTTTGTAGTAAATTACACACTCTTGTAAAGCAGGCTGGCCAGGCGGAGGGGTACAGGTATTCCTACCCCACCTTTCAAAGCCATACTCGGGCAGCTTGCCAAAGCTCGCTGTGGCAGAGCCAGTTCAAGTATTCCTTACCATGTGCCAGGGCTTGATTTTACGTGTGGGTTAGCTTCCAGCTTTAGTGGTTACTTGAATTTACACTATAGCTTCCTGTATTTGGTTTCCATCAAAAAAAGTATCATGTCTTTGTTCTATTGAACTTTTAAAAGTGAGACCTATCATTGTTAACAAAACGATCCACGTGAATCCCAGTACGACATACAGATGAAAAACAGACTCTGTTCATGAGTTATGGAAAGCAGTGACCCTCAGAGCCAGCAAGCATCCACCACCACCACCTGGCCTGACTTCACTTCTTAAAAAAAGTTTTAATTAGCAAATATTACTTCTACATCATGATGGGTTTCATTATATTTTACCCATATACATAATATATTTATCAGCATCACCCCATCCACTCCCCCATTAGCCCTTCTGTGTTCCTCCCACGCCTGCTGATCTCCTCCTCCCCCATCTAATTCCCCTTCTCCTTTCATGTTTTTCCTGTATGACCCAATTGGTTTCATTAGGGTTTGTTTATAGAAGCAAATTCATCTGTTTTAAATGATTTTCCTAACATTATATGCAAAAGGTTTCCTCTACTATGCAGACAGGTGCAGGATGAATCTGAAAGCCAAGTTCAAGGTTAAAAAAAAATGGCACAAGATTGTTGTATCTACCACTTTTACTACTTCTAACACCTGAAGAGACAAGAAAAGAAAGAAAAGGGAAGGAAAGGAAAACAAGACTTCTTTTGGAAAAACATCCAAGTTTCCCTACCTGAAGGGCCATTGGCAACACTGTAAAAGTGCATTCCTGCCAACAAGCTGTAGTAAGTTGAGTGATTACACTGACCCTTGATCTCACCCCTTTCAGACACGCATACCCTGTGCACTTCAGAGAGCTGATATATGGATGTAAGCGTACATAAGTTAAGCATAAAACAAATGTATAGCATCTTAAGTATGCCAGACACTGCTCACACAAGGAGGGGGAATATCATCTATGTACAGACAACACACACCAACACAGAGCATGCCACAGCAGATCTGAAAAGGCTTACCACGCTGGAGGTCAGGTTTGCTCTTTTTTCTGCCTTGTTCAGCGCAATCACATCACTTTCTACCAGGCTGAGCCTCTGTGTCAGATTACCGAGTGTCTCGTTCATCCCCTCGAATTTAAGGTCACTCTGTCTCTGGTATGCCACTACAGTATTGTTGATCTCTTCTAAGGAGTTTTGAAGGTACAGGATATCCTAGGGTTGAAATAAACAAATTGTGGGATCCTAAATACTGCAGTTAGACAAGCAGGATAGGAGCAATGCAACAACCTTTGCATCAAGGAGGTAAGATACTTTTCCTGGCTGTGGAACTGCCTGAAACTGCTTTGCTCTTTGTTCTATCAACAATTTGCCCTCTCTTGCATTGCTTGGCCTCAGCTAGGCAGGAAGGGGAAGAAGAGAAGTGTCTGCAAGCTCCCAGTCCAATCCCTCAAAGTGGCGAGTTTGGGAATTAATTTCCTGATGTTTACCTCACTTGCTGGCAGGAAAGCATATTGGGTTATTAACTGAAGTCCCATTAACTTAATTGGTCAGAACAAAACTACCTTAGGAACAATACCAATTACTGAATTGGCTCATGTAACAAAAGCACAGCAAGTAGTGCATTATTTAGTACAAGATTCAATTATTTTTATTGACATCGTCTAGTACTGATTGCTACTTAAAAAGGAATGATGACTATAGGTTTTGAAGGGCATTAAACTCTGGACAGAAAATCTTCCTAGAGGAGCTTTCCTTTATTCTCTTTAATGTGATTCTGAACCCAGTATCCCTGCCTCTTCCTCTCCAGCCTTTTCTCTTTAGACTTTAAAAAACACCAATTTCAAGGATATGTTTCTCAACATTCTTACCAGAGTTTTCTATGGTTCAAACCAGTCATCACTTTGGATGTTGCCTTGATTACTATATGACATAGAGCTTCAGGATAACCTGATCATTTTATGTCTTTCAAGATGTGAAGAGGAATTTACTTCACTGGTTGACATACAAGGCAGAAAGCAGAGTGCCACAGAAGAGGCAGGACTCCCAAGTACCAGCACATATCTTTATTGCTCAGTTCTCAGACAGGAAGGTGATGTATGAGGCACCTTCTGAGGCAACCTACTCGGGCACTGTATGCTAAGCCCACATTCCTCACACTGCCTCTATAGCCCACCCAAGCAAAAAGTACCTGTTTTGAACTTTCACTGTGGGTTTTATTGTCAAGTTCTGATGTAGCTGAAGATGGTGGCATGATTTGGTTGCTTCCATTGGTCTCCTTTAAGAAATGTTAACACAAATGGAAGTTAGTACATATGCAACAATTAACTACTAGGTTACTTAACCATCTCAGATGGTCTCGGAACCGTCTTGCCTCCCTAGGATGTAGCTATGGATTAATCTACAGTAGTTCCCCAAAGCTTATATTAGGACCCATATGAAAGGTGTCATGGCTATCATGAATTCTGAGAGTGTTCAGCCTGAAGTAGAGGCTGGATAGCAGCACCCAGATTACTCCAGGAACCTGAGCTCCTGCTAGTATGCCTCTCAGTTTCCTACTGGGATGAATTCTTTAGAAACTCCTCTCTCCTCTCCTCATTACCTGTACTGCACGGGAACTGCATAATCAAGGGCACAGCCAGTGAACGAGCACACGACTGGTTTCCTTTAATACACACTGATGTCTGTATCAGAGGCTGAGTCTTCCCTTTTCTCCCCGCTGCTCTCGTCTCTCTTTGCATACACTTAAGTATAACATGCTTAGATACATTTTCACCCTTTACTGGGGAAAAACTGTAAAGCTGATTCTTTTGCAGCCCACAGCTATGGTTTAGTACAATGTGCTAGTAGGAAGATCACTACTGACCGTCACGGGAAGTTAAAAGATGCCGATCCAATTACAATGATGTAATTGGCAAAACAGTGTTCCTTAAAATTTGAACTCCTAGGTATTTACCAACTTTGCTTTCATACAAATTGAAGGTAAAATTAAAAAGAAAAAGATGTAACACCCATGGTTCTAGGAAGCAGACGGTATACAATTAGGAAAAAGTATTTTAGGAAATGGGTCATTACTTGAGAGCATGTGCAAGATAAAGGAAATGGTGAGTTATGTCTTTATTACTATGGGTCACAGAGGTCTTCAGTTACCATATTTACAAAAGACCTAGCTTTCAATCCTATTTACCTTCACGGTTTGACGTACAGATGGCAGACCAATAAGTACACATTGCTTGTTGGAGATTTTTTGTTTTGTTTGGTTATTGTTTTTTTAAAGCAGGCAGAATAGGATCTGCTTAGTTCTCTGGGATCACGACTCTGACACAGGAAACGGTGAGCAGGCGCATGCTGCCTTTCTCTCATGTTTACAGAACTTACCAGACTGCTCTGCAGTGATTCCAAGGTTTTCTTGTGTTCATCCACAGTTTTCTGTATTGCCTCCACAGCAAGATGGACACTGTTTAAAGTATTGCCAATGGAAGCTACGCTCTGAATAGAAACAATGTAGGAATATCAGTTTTCCCTTTTAAGAGCTTTTTTAGTAAGTATAACAGACATGCAATACATTCACATACCCAAAATGCGTAATAAATCTGTGAAGCTATTTCCATAATAGAAGCAATAGACATTACCCCACCTCAATTTCTTCATGCTTTTCTGTAACTTCCCAAGACAACCAACCATTTATTTACTTTCTGTTACTATATCAGTTTGCATTTTCTAGAACTTTACATAAATGAATATATACTTTAAAAACTTTTTTAGTTTGTCTTCTTTTACTAAGTGCAACTGAGATTCATTTATGCCTAAGCTGCTCAGCATGTTACATGCCATTGTATGGTTTTATCAACTTGTTTATTAACCAATTAATGAATGTTTAGCTATTTTCAGGATTCGACTACTACAAATAAGGCTGCGATAAACATTCATGTGGAAGTCTACATGTAGACTTGTGCCCTCATCTCCCTTCATACTTTCGCATCATCACAATACACAGATCAACAGCTGTGCAGATCTGTCTTAACTTACAAACTAGCCTTTAAAATGGTTGTGCCATTTTACAGTCTCATTAATGGTTTAACTGCTCCATACATCCACAAATACAGGTGATGTTAATTTAAAAAATTTCCCATTCTAATGGCAATGTAGTGGTATGCTGTGATTTTAATTTACACTAAAGCACTAATTAAATATAAATCAGTATTTTAATTATTTCAACTATATTCAAACTATGAATTCCATGTAATTTATACTGAAACAATTAGCAAAGGTAGAAACATTCATTCTTTCTATGATTAGTTTCCCATATATAAAAATCAAGCCATTTTCTCAATTAAGAAAATCCACAATCTTCCCTAAATAAAATACATTTTCCTAAAAAATTATTTATAATGGTCAAATACTGGAAAAGAAACACTTAAAGAATAATCTGGGACTCACAGACAATAGGTCCACCTCTAAACTATGTATGTTAAACACCCTGCAGGCAAGCAGATAACCAGTCAATGCTGTTGACTGTCAACAGTCAGAAGTATTAAGTGAAGACTTTTGAGCAAAATTGAGTGGTATGATTTTTGGCTCTAGGAAACCCATCTGGTAGTAAGATTCTATCAGCAATGAATGCGGTTAGGTAACTACTTATTGTTAAGAATATTTCTTAAGATGAGCCTCTCCGCCAACACAAATAACTCCAATCAGACCAAATCAGACCGAATAAAAGATGCCCACATTTAATGCAGTGCTCCTGGGTGGCACCAAGAAAGCATGGCGAGGGGAAGAGAGAGAAGGGCAGACCACACAAAACCCGGAGACCACGTGTACGTTCTCTGGGGGAGCAGTTTAAGTAGCCTGTAGGCGTGGTCTTGACCTTCCCTGGGGAGGAGTCACTGTTTGGCAGGCTTTCTTGGAGATCGAGTTTGGACTAAGGCAACTCCCAGGGGAGGGGGCTTGAAATGGAGCTCTTGCCCAGTATTCCAAACATGGGTGCCGGGGCTGGGATAAGGTCTCCATTCAACTATAATATTCCAGACTCTTTGTATAAAGGGGTGTCAGTGAACTGGGGTGATGCTTTTGACCAAACACTTACTTTGCTCATATTAGTCCTAAAGAACTCAAGTATGCAGAGGGCATGATTCAGAAGTCATCTTTAAAATAAATTAAGAAATTATGCACATTTGTATGAGTGTATGTGTAGGTATGTGCATGTGAATGCAAGTGCCCATGGAGGTCAAAAGATGTTACTGCATCCTCTGGAGCTAGAGGTACAGGAACCAAACTCTGGTCCTTGGCAAGAGCTGTACGTGCTCTTAACCGATGATCTATCTCTTCAGCTGTCATGAGTTACTTTTTTAAAAAGTCCAAAAGAATGTTATTATTTGGTGGGTTTTATCCTTTTATTATGACATACTGACGATTTACAATGTAACAACAGTACTTTTAACCAAAGTTATTGTATTGTTTTGAGGTGCTCTCATATAGCCCAGGCTTGCCATATAGCAAAGGATGACTTTGAACTTACGATCTTCCTGCCTCTACCTTCCACATGCTGGGATTATAGGTCTATATCACCACAACTGGTTTTATGAGGTGCTGAGGATCAAATCTAGGGCTTTGTGCATGCTAGGCAAGCACTCACTCAACAGAGCTGCATCCCCAGCCTCCAAGGTAACATTTTAAAATCACACTGAAACAAGAATTCAAGGAAACAGGAGTTGGTAGCATTTTCAATATTTAAAAAATCACATAGCATAAATGAAAGCTAGCTAGGTTTTTGTTGTTATTGTTTTGTTTTTTGCTAGCTAGGTTTTGGAGATGAACTACAATTTTGAAACTGAAACATAGTTTAAAATAAAAGCAGAACCCAGCAGGATTTGCAAAGAGCTAACTAACATTTGGGGTAGTCTCTAAGTTACTATGCTACATAAACACTGTTGTTGCAAAAAGCTGCCAGACTCTCAAAGACACCTACTGTTAGAGAATCCTCACTGGCTGGCTGGTTGGCTGAGCCTGTCAGGACACAGGGAGATAGTGAGCTCTTGTTTGGGGGTTGTTTTTTAGGAAAGCAGCTGACAGATCATGTAAATCCTAGAATGAAACTCTGAAACTAGTATTCCTACCAACTGCAAAGTGCCTGGTACACACTGGAGAAAGCTCCACAAGTGTTTATTGAATTAATGAGAGCAAGAACAAGCCAGTATCCTTTTCTGAAGTAAGTCTGCCAAGTTGCTTCTGTAAGGCTACAGGGGCCTGCTTTTTCCTTCTTGGTCCCTGGGAATGATGGCAAGAATCTGCTTCATTAAAGTTGCCTCAATCTTTTTAATTTAAATGTTGAGAGCAGATGGCCATACTAATGAGCAAATTACAGGAACTGAGCACACAATGCTGTGGCTGTAAAACATCAAGTTTTATTTCTGTTTGTGGTTTAGCAATTTTTCACTTTGTGTAACAATCTAGGTATTTATGGACCAAGCCTGGAATATGATTGAATCAAACATCACAGGCTGACTTTTAAAAGTCAAGGACCCTAGATTTAAAAGAGCCCACAGTGCAAGGGCTCTTATTCCTAAAACCCTTCTTTTGTTTTTTGTTATTGGGGTCGCTCTTGTGTTCAATCGGAAACGATGTTCTCCCTTCCAATCTCTCTCCACTCTCCCCATTCAGCCCCAGGCATTCCTGAGTCTCATCCTTCTGAATTCCACTTATCTGCTGTTAACTCTACACAGCAGGGGTCTTAAACAAACAGAAATTATGAACAGCTGTTTGCACAGGCACTGAGGTCTACAGTGTACATACAAGTGATTGTTTAGGACGTATATAGACACCTTTAGAAAATAATAACAAACTGTTTCCAAAGTATTTTTTTCTCAAATTATACCCAACAGTGTTTACAAGTACCCTTTGTCACACAGCTGCTCCTTAATTTCTAATTTATGCATCTCATCTTAGATCATCTTTAAACAGCAAAACAAAACAAACAACTCAACTCCTTCCCAATCATGGAAAAGTTGATGTTTAGAGCAACTCTCATCCACAACTGGTCTGGGCTCCTGAAGACAGTGTAACAACAAACTGAAAAGTAAACTGCTACCTGCTAACATGGTGGTCCCAGCAGAGCAACTTGAGAACACAGACAGACAAAGGGGGATAAACTGTATAAACCATAAAGTAACCTGTTAAAAATTAAAGTCCCAACTAGCAAAGTTGTTTTGAACTCCACAGGACCCAATGGTATACTTCACACTCTTATTTTGGAGCAGCCGATATCAAATGCCAGGTTTTCAAAGTGAACTCTTAATTCCAGCATTAGGTAGTGTCCAAACACAGCACTTACCTTCTGAAGTCCCTCCACAGTGCTAGGCAGGCTAAGTAAGTCTGCAGCCGACTTGACATTGGCTTTCAGGTGGTTTACTGCAGAACTCAACAGAGAAATCTGAAAAGGATTAATAAACAAAGAAAACAGAATTTGTAGAGTATGCGCTTCCTTCACAAGCTCTACAGCTCACAGGTCAAGGTACCTGTCAGCTCTCAGGAGCAGAGGAACTACAGTGTTTTGGGAAGAGCTGAGAATCAGGAAGCAAGAGGCAGAGCCATGTGCCATTCTTTACCTTGGTCCTAGCAGCTGCAGGGCCCAGACTCTTAAATAACTCAAAAGAGGCAGTGATTACCATACAATTCTTCAATAGTTGAACAGGAAAAAACTGATGATCAAGGACCACTTCAAAACTTCACTTTGGTAAAAGAGAACACCTATTTAACTGAACTTTTGTTCCTGTCCGAGTGGGAACATATATTATAAAGTAAAAGCCCATCATCACAAAATATAGTCCACAGAACTGTATCCTGACAACTTGAATAGCACTTTCAACTACTCAGGGACTTGATTTTGGTTTAATAATGTGATTAATATTTCAAACTCAATAGCTCAACCAAAGCATTACTTTGTACCCTGAAGGAGCTCAATAAATACCCACTGACTCACTGAAGGATGCAATGAATGTATTAAAACAGGAATTGAATCAAAATAAAATGTGGCTTCCTTTCTAAGGGTAGGATTTAAGTATCTGGACTCCTATCTGAATGGGGACTGGGGGAACCTATGTAACATGCAATTTCAGGCTCAGAGTTCGCATTCTAATAAGTCTTGCAGTGTGACTCAAAACACTCTTCAAAGAGTCTTGGTGCCAGACTGCTTTCTTATTCTAAATTTTAGGCTGAGAACAAAGGTCTACCAACAACTGTACTAAAGAGTGGCTTCATAAACACCCAACTTTCTGGGTACTTGCGACAGGCCAAGCTGTGGTGGCACCGGAGGATGTGAGACACAGCGGGTCAGATTCCTTTTCATTCCTTCAACACGTTCTTGGCATTTGCTTTGTGCTGACACCTTAGCTGCAACCCTAGGGATTCAGCCAGAACATTCTGACACACAGAGTCTGAGATAATGAAGGGTTACTGTATTAGGCCACTAAGTTTGAAGATTAAATGTAACCCAGCACCAGACGATCAATATAGGTCCCAAGAGTTAAGTGACACGTGACTAGAGCTCGGCCAGCTACCTGGCACAAATGATCAAGCCAGCGGCATTTCTTTAGGAGGGAAACTGAGTGCTTACACATGCCATCCTCCCTAAGAGTTCTCAACTACATGGATCACTCACTAATGTTCTAACTCTATCCATTCCAAAACAAAAAGGTGAGACACCTCAGCCCACATGAGAAATACTTTTAGAAAGCTATAACCTCATAGAGTAGCAATTGCATCAGGAAGATTTTTCTGTTTGTTTGTTTTTTGCCATTCCTTTAAGAAGCTATGGACAATAATACCGAGGCTTCAAAGAACATAAGGAAACAGGCATTCTCGTGCACCATTCATGGGAATGTGAACCAGAAAAGGATTGTTCTGAAGGAATAGCCCTCAAAACCTGAAATGTTTACATATTTTGCTCAGTACCTTCATTTCTAGAAAACCATTCTGAAGATTACTTGTGCACAGCCACAAAGAAATATGCACACGTCTTTATCTGAACCAGTGGATGTGTAGATATATTCATGAATAAAGAATGCTGGAGTGCACCACATAGCGAATGTCTCCATTTATTCCCATACTCTTAGTATAGAACCCACGAGCTGATCCATATTAAAAGCTATGATAGTTTTACAAGTACATATGAGGTGCAGACTGTTACTGACACAAGACAACATGTACAAATGTGAAGGGAAGGGACTCCTCTCCTAGGTATGGTTTACAATTATTCTACATGCCCTATTATGTAATATCTTTCAGACACTAGTGAATAAACTCCTTTCACTGACAACTGGCCAGATCCCAAAGGGATAATAACACACTGCACTCTAGGTGATCTGGGCAGAAACTATTCTGTCCAACATCCTGAAGCTATGGCAGAGCTAGTCACAACTATCTTAGGAACATAATGGTCTCAGAGAAGGTGAGTGAGGCTGCTGGAAGCTGCCATTTCACTTAACACCAGAGAACTAATGAAAGCCAACCCAGGAGGACTAGGTTAGGTCGTCTTCTCTCTGCGTCACAAACACTGTAGGTCTAGGCTCTAGAGCGCCAGCTGCATCCCTGAGGGAGTGTGCTCTGGAGAGCTTACTGTCAACTCTGCAGTTGCTGGTCACATAAACAGTGTTTTTCTCATTTAAAGGACCTGGACCACTGGCTCAGTTATACACCCCAGACCTCTGCTCTACAGTAGAGCCAAACTGTGTGGGAAACTACAGTAAACATACATGTACAATGGGTGTACAATGGGACTGGAGAGACAAGGGGGTACTCTCCCATTGTCTCTGACCTCAAACAGATACATTTGAGAATGTGAGATTGGATTCAAGCATTACAGAACAACAAACATCACATTTTACAATCTGAAGACCTAAAAACTGAGTTACAGGAAAAAAAAAACACATTCTAACCAAAAAATGAGTTATGACTTCTATGCATATTATACGATTTTTTTTAAATCAGCAAAAATAAAAATAGCCACTGTAGACTCTTTGTTTAACATAAATTTTATACTTCAAAAGTAGAAATGCTATTTTTTTCTTTAGGATTAAACTTAATGTTCTTTAAATAGAGAGAAAAAAGTTGAGAAAACAGATTACAAAAGATAAATGATTATGAGTAGGAACTCCCTACAGTGAGTTCTGTCCTAGAACTCACTGTGTAGTCTAGGTTGGTCTTAAACTCAAGAGATCTTCTTGCCTCTGTCTCCAAATTGCTGCAATTAAAGATGTTCCCCTGGCCCTACTAATTCCTATAAAAATGGGAGGAAGGGCTGGAGAGATGGTTCGGTGGTTAAGAGCTCTGCCTGCTCTTCTAAAGGTCCTGAGTTCAATTCCCAGCAACCACATGGTGGCTCACAACCATCTGTAATGAGACCTGGTGCCCTTTTCTGGCCTGCAGGGATACATGCAGGCAGAGTACTGTATACATAATAAAAAATAAATAAATGGGAGGAAAACAGATTTCCAAGAGTTAAGTATTTCACTGCTAGACTGCTACACAGCTGTGACCTTGGGTAAGCTCTTTTACCTCTTTTGAGTCTCAATTTTTGTTTTCTTCCCACCAACCCCCAATTCTGAGACAGGGTTTCTCTGTGAAACAGCCCCGGCTGTCCTGGAACTCACTCTGTAGACCAGGCTGGCCTCAAACTCAGAGATGTGCCTGCCTCTGCTTCCGGAGTTCTGGGATCAAAGGCATGAGTCACCACCATCCAGCAAATTTCAATTTTCTTATCTGTAAACTGGGGTTAACACTTTTTACATCATGTGACTTAGGACATAGAGAAAGGAGCTCATACATGCAGTACAGCCAACAGAGTGGCCTGCACAAAGAAAACATTTAATGTATGACAGTTATTACCATCACCACCCAGATTTTCATCACTATGCCTGAGGCTGACTACAGAGTCCAATTCCTTTTGTTTTTTTAATTTTATTGATTTTTATTGAGCTCTCCTTTTTTCTCTGCTCCCCTCCCTGCCTCTCCCCTCCCCTTCAACCCCATGCTCCCAATTTACTCAGGAGATTTTGTCTTTTTCTACTTTCCATGTAGATTAGATCTAGATATGTCTCTTTTAGGGTCCTCATTGTTGTCTATGTTCTCTGGGATTGTGAATTGTGGGCTGATTTTCTTTGCTTTATGTTTAAAACCACTTATGAGTGAATACATGTGATAATTGTCTTTCTGGGTCCGGGTTACCTCACAGAGTACAATTCCTAATGCAATTAGATGCATATGCAGTCGACCAGTACACAAGTGCTTAAAAGAGAGCAGTGGGAACTAAGAAGGGCACCTAAGGTCCTCGGCAATGCTTATTGATTTACGTTATCTCTGGCTTCTTTCTGTGCCCAACTAGGGCTATAAGGAAGGACTAAAATTTCCTCCATACGCAGCCTTTACACTTATCTATCCTTTTATAAATGCAGTCCATTCTTGTTAGTGGGTAGTTATCTTTTGAAAAGCTACTGCCAACGTTGAATTAATGAATGCTAAGCCACTGTTCCTAGGTGTGGGGGCTTGGTTCCTGTCAGCTCCTCGGTCACATTTTTAGTAGCTTATCAATATAATATATAATCTTGTTTTACACGTGTTCCTGTTTAAACATCTTAATTAATGATACTGCCGACTTATTAACACTGAACACACAGCTAACAGCACTGAAAGTGATGCCTGAAAGCAGCCTACCTAACGATGAAATCAACAACAAAGGGCACAAAAATGTGAAAAGTTACAAGAAATATACCACAGAACCCAACCTATTTACAGCACGAGAACAGAACAAGAAAGCAGGGTGCTGCCTTGCTCCCCTCCAGTGTCTGGGGGTGACTCAAAGTTATTGCTGCTGTGCATACAGCAGTGGATGATCAAAAAAGCCTCATACTTACAGATTCTGAGGTTACAAATAGATTTTAACATGTAGATAAAATTATAAGGATCAGCTGTTCTGTTCTACTGAGTGTAACTGCCTCTTTCTCCACCTGGTCCACTGTTCCCTTCAGGGCTTAGCCTAGTGTTTCTGGGAAAGCTGACCCCAGTCTGGGGTGGACATTCATCTTTATGCCCTCAGCATTTGAACCATATGCTTCATGTCAAACTGTTTACTTTCCTATCTTCTCTTTGTCCATAAGATCACTGGGGTAAGGAATCACATCTTTTTTTTTAATTTTAATCTATTATAGTCTGAATGTTGTAGCTCTCTTAATAGTTTCACGATCAAAATCTCCAAGGTGGAGGCAGTAGAGGTGGGGCCCTCCAGGTACAATAGGGGAGGGCTCTACCCTCATGAAGAGCCCAGTGATGCTTCTTTGCCCTTCTGTGAATGAAGACATAATAAGAAGACACCATGCATGAAGCAGACAATGAGCCTTCACCAGAGACCAAATCTGCTGACATTCTGATCCTGGACTCTTGGACCTCCAGAACCGTGAGTAATAAGTTCCTATTGTTTATAAGTTACCTAGTCTAAAGCATTTTGTTAGAGCAGCCTGAGCAGACTAAGACGGAGCCAAAGGCCCAACTCCATAAAAGCAGCTCTGTGAACATCTGTTCTCCACAGCATGGGAGGCCCTTAAACCGCCAGGAGGAGTGGGCATGATATCAGAGGCTTCATGAATCAAACAGAAGTATAAATGAAGTTTCACGTACTAGCTTAAAGACTTTCAAGGGAAAGTTGGATTTTAACTTCCCCAACCAGATGACCTTCTTTTCCCAACCCAAATTAACCTCAGCTTACTTGGTGTTAGGAATAGTTCTCGTTAAGCAAAAGAATAGATTCTCTTGTTGTTAAGTAACTTTCAATTGTTTAAAAATGCTACTAGAAGCACCTGAAATTGACAGTTACCACTAGCTATAGAAACATGATTGAATATTATTTTTACTTTTACTCCTACTTTGCCGCAGGACAACTGCTGCTTACTTGATAGAGCACCGGATGTACAGCAGTAACTTTAGACTGCTAGGCTAAACAACTTCCGGCTCTGCTCCACCTGCATCCATCCTCTGGGTCTAGGCTAGCAGAGGACTCCTCTGCACTAGGTTGGTTTTATAACTCAACCTAGCATTTTGTGAAGCGTGGGGCTACCCATCTGCAAAGCGTTTCAGTCTGACCTTCCCCAGTTCCACACACAAAGCCCTAGGGCTTCTTACACCAGCCCAGCACCCGTTTTCTCCCTGAGCAGCCCTAGAACGCCAGTGTGCGAGGAGGGGATGGGAAATAGACAGCTATTCTTTGCATGGTCTTGCCATGCAAAGCAGTGTCATCCTTGTCTGAGATGGTTGACTCTGTCCTGCCACGTGGAACCCACAGGTTGCCCAGGAGAAATGCTCGTTCTCTCGGAGCCTCAGTTCTCCTCTCACCTGATGTCAGCCCCGTCCGTACTGTGCAGGTGCTATGTGAGTGTAGGACCACAGCTGACTCTAGTCTTTGTGTATGAAAGGAATGAATATCTGCTTTTCTTTAATAGCTGAGAGCCTAGAATAAATGATAACTGGTAAGTAGCAGTTGCTACCACCCATCGATTATTTCCTGTGTTATTAAAAATAAAATAAAATAGAGCCAGAGGTAGTGGCTCATATAATCTTAGCACTCAGGCCAGCACGGCGTACACAATGAAACTCTGTCTCAAATCCAAAACCAAAATAAAACCCCCAAATAGGAATGAGCAGGATATACAATGCCATAAGGCACCGAACATTTTCCAGGTGAGCCACTGCTTTCAGAAAATTTCATTTTAGCTACTAATGGTGTCTTAGTCTACTTCCTGTGGCCACTGTTAAATACCAGAGAGTGGGTGACTTATAAACGGGCTTGTGTGGCTCAATTCAGAACACATGACTGCATCTGAGGAGGGTATTTTTGCTTCATCACAGCACAGTGGAGAGCTTCACGTGCATGCGATAAGAACAAACAAGTGTGACAGCACAGGCTTCTCTTTTTCTTCTAGGACCATTTTGTGGTAAATGTTAATTACTCACGAAAGGCTCCACTTCCATATACACTTGACACGTGAACTGGGAGACACATTTAAACCACAGCATCTTGTCATGCATGTCTACTGGGCCAGGTAGACATTCTTACTGTAGGTTCCAAGTAGAAGCCGCTTTCCTAGACCACTGAGTTTCAATCTTCAACACTAACTATCCTTCTCCCAGAATGTGGCTGAAAGATGCAACTTGATAAATATTTACAGGCCCTTTTATCCTAACAGGCTTCCTACTGGCTCATTCTAGTACTCTGTGGACTCCATCCTCAAAAGAATGTTCTCTTAATCCCAACAAAGATGACAAACCTAATTTTAAGTATTTTGCATGTATATCACTCATTTGGTGCTTGAGTTTTCTTCTCAATGACAGTATTTTTTCCCAACTAAACTAAAAACAATAACAAAAAGCCAAACTAAAACAGCAACAAACAAATCAACCCAAAGTCCAGACCTGAGAATGGGGCTAAGATCCCAGTGGAGTAACGCTAACTACCTGTGAGAATCTTGGTCAGCATCCTTAGACTAAACACTTTTCTTGTAGATTCTTTCTTTTGGGACAGTGCCTACTGAGCTATGCACAACTCTGAGGCTGAACAAGTTTGTCTAGACTTGCTTGTATGGCCAAAGCATTTACCCGACTCTATGACTGTTTCTAAGCTAGTCTGGCTGACTGTGAGCTGTTGTAGATCTGACTTCCCACCTACAACATTATAATCTAGCGCTAAACCTCTAAGTGTGTAAGCTCTCTGAAACAAAATGCATCTACTAACAGTAGGTGATCCCCTTTCCCTGGTAATTAAGATGGTACTTCTTATTTGATACCTACACTACTCTGTAGAAAAAACTGGCTCAAGTATTTATAACTCCCTCTATAATGCTCTACCTCTGTAGAACTCCGTGCATGTGTAAGAAGAATTAACATTTAAATACTTGGTAAATGCATTTTAAATTTTGGTAAATAATTACTATTTTAACATGTTCTGCTCACAACAGGCAAACTCCAATTTAAGAAGACAAAACCTGAATTTATAAATTTATACTAAATGCCAATCACAGCTTACACAGGAATAAAGTCACACTTTTGCTACCTGTTTGTTCATTTCTGTGATGTTGATCCAGACTCTGCTCAAGCCAAGCTCCCCAGATTCAATCTTCTCAAGTTGTTTCTGTTTGCTGAGAAGTTCCTCATTAAGTTTGGGGATTTCCTGGAATGAGCTTTTCTGATTAGATTCCACTGAAAGCAAAATAAGAACAACTGTAAATAAATATCACATTCCCTCTGGTCCCAAGATGGGAGAAAGAAAAGGATCAGAGGGCAGGAAGAAGAAAGATTAGTGAAATTAGAAAATGCAAATTCTGGGATGATAATGACTTAACCCAGTTACCTAACTACACTGGAAAAAGAGAAGGGAGGCCAGAGCTACGCTGTTATTTACATAAGTGTGTGTGTGTGTTTAATTTTATTTATTTATTTGGTTTTTTTGAGACAAGGTTTCTCTGTAGCTTTGGAGCCTGTCCTGGAACTTGCTCTGTAGACCAGGCTGGCCTCGAACTCACAGAGATCAGCCTACCTCTGCCTCCTGAGTGCTGGGATTAAAGGTGTGCGCCACCACCACCTGGCATAAATGTGTATTTTTAACACTAAACCTTAAGTTAGGTTACTTGGCTCAATGACAGAAGTCTTGTTTGGTATGTGCAAGGCACTGGGTTCTATCTCCAGGACCACAAAACAACAAGGATAACGAAGACAGGTGTCTAAAAACTGTAACAAAAACCATGAGCAGAAAGGGTTAGATGATTTCAACTTTATAACTTATTATTATTTTGAGTAAATTATTCGATTTCTTTATCTGGAGCAGTGTTTAAGCTCCACTTCCCAAGAGTGTCAGAGTGACGCGAGAGAAAGGAAAGCATTTGCACAACTGGGCAGGCATACAGTAGGTGGTAAATAAATGTTAAGTCTGACCAGTTTCCAGATTAGTCAGTTACGACTTACAACTCCTACCCGTGGATGCTCAAGGTCATTAGAAACTACACCTCTAAATGTTTATTTTCTTCTACTTTAAGTTGGCCGACCGTGAGGTGGTATTCAGATACCGAAGTGAGGGCTAAGATTTTTATTTTTTCATAAATAGCAGTGTTTTCATAAACGAACACAAAAGCTCAAGAAGAAAGGAAGATAAACACGTTAGATGACGCGGAGGGGGACATTAGGGCTGTGAAACGACAACTCCTGTGTGGTTAAGGGATTCGAAGCCTGAGGCAGAGGCAAAAATGCATTCTCGTCTTTCTTTAAAAAGCATTTTTCCTCTTAATGGAAAATAAAATATTGATAATGGCTGTTCCTCCAGAATAAAACCTACATCATTTTTCTTCAGGTCACAGACTTCCTGATTAGTTACAATATATATATTTTAAAACCAACACTGGATACGGGGCCAATACAAAATCATTTATTAAAACGAGAGTTCCAAGACTTGTGAAGTCTGTTTCTGTATGGTCTGCATTCAGAATATCATCTTAGGCACTCAGTAAACACTTGTTACCTAAATAAGCCTGGTCTTTGCTGGCCTCCCAACTACATTTCTCAGTACTTTACCCTCCTGGTCAATCCAACAAAGAAAACTCAAAAAGTAAAACACCAAGACAGCAAGCACACTTAACAGCAACAAAATTCCATGGAAAGTGAGGACAGTGGTGATATCCCTTTAAGCAAGCCCACTGTGGAACAACTCAGAATAATGAAATTAGGTATTTTCATTTATTTTTTAGAAGTAGCTGCCAAAGGACTGCATTCTAAGTAACAGACTTCCCTAAGTGCTTTTAGTGTAGCATTTGATTTACACGTTTGCAGAACATATCCATCTCTGGCGGTAATAATATTTCACTGCTCATTCTAACTAATGCAGCTCTGTGTCACTGAATTGCTTATTCGGTTTCTGCTGGGTTGTAAAGAAGAGCCCATCCTACAAATGCCTTCCATGCTCAGGTGGTCAAACGTCCTCAGGAGGGAGGGTCTCTCTTTCCTAAAGTCTCTATGCAATAAATAGAATTTAGAGGTGGAAGAAGTAGGACAAAGACATAAATAATCCGAGTTACAACTATCAGCTAATGAACACATAAAGCTGCCAAGCCTGAGTCTTGGATCCTGAGGAGTCTATGAGCCAAGAGGGGATCATAATCATTATCTGACGTGGGCTTTTTAGGAGAGACAAGCCAAGTTAGGCACTTCTGTTACATAAATGGAAGCATGGCAAACAAACAACTTATGATTACTTATTCATGTTCTTTCACCATGAAAAGCAACTCATTTAAAATTTAATATGTGGAATCTCAAAAGAATTTACCTAGTTTTTATTTTTTCATTTTTTTATGATTAGGAAATGGAAATTTCTACATACACCCTTCCAACAACACAACATAGACAATGTCGATAGTAATGTTTTGCATTCATACAATAGCCTTATAATTTGCAATAAATTTTTTTAAAATATTTATTATTTATGTATACAATATTCTGTCTGTGTGTATGTCTGCAGACCAGAAGAGGGCACCAGACCTCATTACAGGTGGTTGTGAGCCACCATGTGGTTGCCAGGAATTGAACTCAGGACCTTTAGAAGAGCAGGCAATGCTCTTAACCACTGAGCCATCTCTCCAGCCCCCAATAAATTTTTATGTAATTATCATCAAATGACATGTTATTGAGCCTCTATTGTGTGCCGGTTCTGTACTTGACACTATCTAATACAAAAGACTTTGAAGTTCTCAGTCTAGAGGTGAAGGGAGGATTACTATAAATGTTCATAGATATGATTACAGAGTAATGACCAAAGTGCTTTGGTGGCAGAAATACATCTTTGTGTGTCACGGGTAAGAAAATACATCAGATAGACAGTGATTGTTGTAATTTTAGAGTGAGTAACAAGAAGCAGTCAAACCACGTGCTCACAGGACCAATCCTCTTTTTGGTATGCTCAAGATGTCGGGGACACATCTTTGTGCCTGTAGTCACACAAAAGCATCTAACATGTTGTACAAGAGGTCAAGCTACTACTTTTCCTGCGTGACCAAAAAAGGAGATGCCTGATATAAGGGTACTTTCCTTCTCTTCCAAGTTCTTTTCCTTTTCTCTAATGTTTCATCACTGACAAAGAGAAAGCACTGGAGATAAAATTTTGCTTTGAATAACTGTGGAAGTCTTTTGAAATAATTGTTTCTGGAAAAAGGAATACTGAATTAAGTTTCAAGGCCAGGGGCTGGGGAGATAGTTCAGTGGTTAAAAGCACTGGCTGCTCTTCCAGAAGACCTGCGTTCAGTTCAGTTTCAAGCAAGTTCACAACAGCCTGTAACTCTGGCTCCAGAGGATCTGACAGTCTTCTGACCTCTATGACACTGCATGTATGGTATACAGACACATGCAGACAAAATATTCACACATAAAAAATGCATGGCTTAAAGAAAAAAAGTGTTTCAAGGACTCCAGGATAAAGCTATTCCTTGACTGCAAAGAAAAGGTAAGCCATTGTCTTTGTTTTCTGTTCAGGTACTTTCTCAATATCCCTGCTCTTCGAAGCTTTCTTGGATAAAAAACAAAGGGCTCTGATTTCTCAAAAGGCATTAAAGTTAAGCAAACAGGTGTCTTATCTGAGTCAGTGAGCTCCACTGTTTTGTTGATATAAGAAGAAAAAAGAATCAACTTACTGAGATGTGTTTAAAGTAGAAGCATACTTTTAAAAATATGATTATTTAAATGTAGTAAAATTATTCTATCTAGTTAAAATAACTGTTCTTTCTTTAAAACAAACAAACAAACAAACATAGTGAGCTGTCGGGTGGTAGTGACACACACCTTTAATCCCAACACTCAGGAGGCAGAGGCTTGTGGACACCTCTGGAGTTCAAGGCCAGCCTGGTCTACAGAGTGAGCTCCAGGATGATGTGGGCTATTACACAGAGAAAACCTGTCTTGAAAAACAAAAACCAAAACCAAAATACAAAAACAAAAGAAATAAAACACACACACACATACACACCTAGCGAGGAATCAGCCCATAGCAGTCCAGCTTATGGCACGAGTATGCCAGACCCCAGTCTTCCCTCCCTCTGGAAGTCCTTATTTATCTTTCCTTCTTGTTCTTGTGTGTAATTGTGGTGGTGGTGTTCTTGTGCCATAGCATGCATGTGGAGGTAAGAGTATACCTCAAGAGAGTAGTTCTCTCCTTCTACCATCGGGCTCCAGAGGAAACTCAGGTCATCAGGCTTGATGGTAAGCACCCTTACCCACTAAACAATCTCACTGACTACTGGCATTTCCACTGTGGCAAGTCAAAGCCAACAAAACAACTGGATTGACAATTCCAGTTTTACTGCTTTACTCGGCTGGCTACCACACGCAGTTTGGGCTCCAGGAAAATCTTCCTCAATGATAGGAAGCTGACCCCCAACAGTCTAGGCATATGGAGTTGTATCACCTGAAAACACTCTTTTTAGGGGCTAGCACTAACAAACTATCAGGTCTACTTCAGGTCTACTACATGTCTCACATTTTCCAAACAAGGAGATCCATGGCAAGTCCAGCTAAGGTATAAGTTACCTTGGTTTCTTGTAAATACAGAATAGCTGCAGCAGGGAATCTCCAGAGGGCAGAACTGAGCAATGTATGAAATGTATAAACACATAATCACTGTGTGATCAAAGCAAGGTGTGGCACAAGCCTAGGTCAACTAATCACTGAGAGCTGATGGGACAGAAAGGTGTGACAGTGTCACGTACAGTTCAACACGGTTTCCAAGTTATGATTATTATTTACATACAAAGAAAATATAGGCTTAAAAAAATTCGCAATATTGCAAAAACAAGAAAACACATTGAGAAACTCTACAGAATGTACATTCTTTTTTTGTGCTGTACTTTGATTCAAAGCACATATAGGTCAGGATGATTCTGGCAAAGGATTGTGGGCTTAGCCAATTGCATTCCTAAACCAGAAATTCAGAAGAAAATCAAAGTAGATATTAAAACATTTTAAAAAGCATCATCATGAGAGACACCAACAACACTCCGAGGAGTAGCTGTCACTAGGTCAAGTCCAAAGCTCGAATGGCTGTCAGTCAAGAGAAGCTGAGTGAAGGAAAGCAGGAGGATGTGATTTTCTAGGCTTAATATGGCTTTCCCAGGCTTAGGAGGCAAAGTAAGGGCTCAAATTCCGGTTCTGGAGTCAGAGTTCTTTGAGGAGCTGTGGTCAGTTTCCTGATGTGCTATTGCTGTTGAGGTCTGTGATTAAGCTGAAACTTGTTCCTTAGCTTAGAAAATCAACTCTTGAAATCCAGAACCAAAAATTAGACTGTTGTTAAAAGGAGAAAATTTGTTAAGTTAAACCTGTTGAAACCACTCTGCAAGCACAGAAAAAGCAGTTTGTATGCATAAAACTGGACTTCATTATTAGAACACAGGATGTTTTCTAACTTGAGAAGTCTCTTAACCAAAAACCTCATTCACAAGACAAATATCTGTTAGCTGTGTTGTATTCAAGGTAAGGACTGTTATGATTACTATACTTTTTCATGAATGTGTAATGTACTTCAAAGGATAAAAGAGTTTCCTAAAACTTTAAAATGGTGACATGCATGGTATCTGAAGTTTTTTCCCTCTGCAACAGATGTCACAAACAAGCATCCTATGGAAAGAAGTCTACTGGCTAACTACTCGTTTTTGCTTTGTGCTTGAACACCACACACACACACACACACACACACACACACACACAATCAGCTCTTCCAACATCTACTGAACTTTTCATAGACTACTGACCCAAGCTGTACAGAAGGAATTAGTGGGCCCTTTGTAGACATTTGTCAAGCGTTCACAGGTCCTGGAACAGTAATGTAGTACAGCAAGCTAAACATATGGATTTGGGCATAAAGGGCAAGAGGACCAGGTAAACACCAAACTGCTAAACAAGCTACTTAATTGTTCTAAGCTTGTTTTTGTTTTGTTTTGTTTTTCAAGACAGGGTTTTTCTGTGTAACCTTGGCTGTCCTGGAACTTGTTTTGTAGACTAGGCTGGCCTTGAATTCACAGTGATCTGCCTGCCTCTGCCTCCCAAGAGCTCTGGGATTAAAGGTGTGCACCACCATGTATGTCCAGTTTGTTTTTTTGCTTTTAACTTTTTTTTCTTTTTTTTTTTTTTTTTTAAATTGTCTCCAAGGTCCCTTAGAGCAGCCCATACAGGTAACAGGCTGCATACACTACCAAGGAGGCTGCTGTTTGCAACCACTGCACACCATGCTTTTAACTTTTTATTACATATTCATTCATTCATTTAGTATGCGTATGTGGGTGGGTGGATGAGTACATGTCACAGTGTGTCTGCGGAAGTCAAAAGACAACTTGCAAGAGTCAGTGCTCTCCTTCCAGCACACATGATCCCTGAGACTGAACTCAGGAGATTAGGTTCGGTAGCAAGTGCCTACACCTGTGGAGTCATCTTGCGTACCCAGCTTCTGTTTTTTTCTTTTAGAACACAAACAGTAATACTCATCTTTACCAGCATGTGTATGGAGATAGATAGATAGATAGACAGACAGACAGACAGACAGATAAAGAGAGAGAGCAAAAACAATGCCCACATCAGAGGACAGTTTAGGGGGATGGTTTACTTGTGACTTGGCACAAGCAGACAGTCCACAAATGGTGGCTCTTACAGTGACTGTTGTCCAGTCCTATGTTCTTACACAGTGTTCTGAAAGAGGAAATCATCTGACAGATGCTTCCACATTTCAGTCAACCGGTCCTGTGAGGTAGAAGGAAACAGCATGATGTTTCATCAGCTGCTCCATAATGGGAGCTCAGGCTACAGGTGGGGTCTAAACAAGGCTCTGGGCTCCTGGTCTACAGCTCATCCTCTGTGCACTGAGTTGACTACAATGTCGTAATTTCAGACTCCTGACGGCACATAGCACGGAATTTGTTCACAGGTTGAAAACAAATAAGTGTTACTACAGTTGAGCTGACAGTTCAGAAAGTCTATAGAACAAAATGTGTAATTGCCTCCCAGAATGGGCAAATTCCTCATTCAGCACGGACCAATTTTTGCTAAAACTTGAAAACCACTTGACCACTTACTTGTTCTAAATTTTTCCTTGAGGGCGTCCAGATCCTCCTTGAGAGCCACCTGCATCCACACCAAGCCGACACAGGCCACGACACAGGCCGCGAGGATGACAAAAGCACAGAGGGGATAGCAGATCTTGCAGCATCGTAAGTACTCTCCCCTGTCACCAGAATACATTCAGTGTGAGCAAGAACGCCGTTGTGAGAACAGCTTTACTAGCGACAGTATGTGTTGCCATGCGACTATCTTCTCTAACGAGTAACCAGTAGATTTACCAGGGGACACAGGATAATACATTCATATCTAATAGCAGGAGGTTGAAAATGACTGAATAATATGACCGATGGAAAGTTCTATTGGGTACAAAGGTTTCAAACCACACAGGGAACAAGGAGTTCCCATGGCTCATGGGAAGTATCTGTGGGCTCTGGATCACTGCAGTCAATTCTGGAGGGAGGTCTTTGGCACTGAACTCAGTTTGGAAAGTCTGAAAAGACAAGCAGGCATAGTGGCACATGCCTGTTATCCAAATATCTGGGAGGCTGAGGTAGAAGGATTGCAAGTTCTATGACAGCTTGAGCAAGTTAGTAAAATCCTACTTTACAAAACAGTGGGGAGAGTTTGCTTGGTGGTAGAGAATGTGCTTTTCTACTGCATATGAGAACCTAGCTCAGTCCTTAGTATTGAGGGAAAAAAAAGATGCTGGGTGGTGGTGGTGCACGCTTTTAATCCTAGACCTTGGGAGGCAGAGGCAGGTGGATCTCTGAGTTCAAGGCCAGCCTGGTCCACAAAGCTAGTTCTAGGACAGCCAGGGCTGTAGGGTTGTTACATGTGTTACACAGAGAAACCCTGCCTTGAGAAAACAAAACAAAACAAAAAGAGTGGATGGAAAGAAGGGTAAAAATGAGTGTCTATGTAATTCTATCCCTGCACTGTAATTTACCTATCTCTTTCTCAAATATGTGCTCACTTACCCCAGGACACCTTGTTTCATTTATTAAAACTTCATAAACTTTTGACCAAATTTTACAGCAAATGGAAGGAAAGAAACAAGACCTGTTGGGTTAAGTGGATACCTGATATTCTTTAGCCTGCTGCCTTAGGAAGACAGAAATAGAAACATGCTAGATTTCACACCAAACTTCGCCTAGCCTTCAGGCCTAAACTAACCCCACAGGGTATCAGATGACCTTCACAACACAACACAAACCCAATGGTCATTAACTACCCTCTGACAAAGTCAGGTAAGGAAACCAAAGTCTTAACAAAAAAGACACAGTGATTATGAAAAAAGACAGAGATTTGAACACACTAAAAGACCAGAACCTTTTGGCACCCAGCTCTGTCTAGCATTTGTTTCCATATCCCAACAGAACCCCCTTTTCTTTCAGTCTGGTCTCTGACAGGGCCCAAACACTGGGGTTTCCTTTAGCTGCCTCACAAACCCCAATCCTAAAAGCTCATTTGTCTGAAGGTTCATACTTTCTACAGTACGCCCCTCACCATATTCTCCCATCACCAATATCAAGCTTATTAAGAAACCACGAAATAATTATCAGTCTTAAGGTCCCTTGACCTACTTTTTAAAAGTACCTCGCCTCCAGGGTCCCTCTTCCCTGTCCATTAGTAACCTTTTACTCCTTCTTGGGCTATGGGCCCATTCCCCAAGTTCACACTTCCACCCTGGATTTGGAGATCTTGCGAGACATTAGATTTGAACTTGCCTTCTCCAACACCCTTTCTCCCTCTTTGTTTTCCAAGGCCTCCGTTTGCTTCCCAAGGCCTCTCCTCTCCTCATCTATTTGCCCAGCTTAGTGCAGGAGGCCTTTTGCCCATCTCAGTCTTCACCAACCACCCTTCCACTCACTTGACAAAACGAGAGCGATTTCCAATCGCTCCGAACTCCTCTTCTTCCTCTGAGCTGGTCTCCGACTCTGAGTCAGGGGGTTCAGTGCGAAGTAGGCGGTGGCTGCTTGGACCTTTCTTGGGCTTCTTTCTCCGACTGTCACCAGCCAGGCCGATCAGCGCATTAAGCTCTTTGCGTTTTTTCATCTTTTTGTGCGGGGTGAGTGGAGCGCCCACTCCTGAGCTGCCAGGTTCGTACCCGACGCCCAACTCTCTCGCTGTCTTGGAACTGCCTTCCAGGGTTGGAAATCCTGGGCCAGAGCCCCCTGATCACTCCCACCCAGAGGTGGGACTGACCAGATCTACTGGGGGCTGGAGAATGGACCCCAGAGGAAATTGGACGCAGATGGATGGGGGAAGTTACATAGAGATGGCCAAGGAACTGGTGATCAAATGGATAAATTCCTGGAACAACTATTACCTGCCAAAAGGAAAATAAAACAAAACAACCCGCTAGGTCAAGAACAAGACTCTTAGCCCTGTAGGCAGCCAGTATTTCTAGGAGTGCTCTAGAAGCTGAGAAAAGATACACAAAACTAAGGTACTCTGGATCTCTGGGACAAGATTTCCAAGGCAGAGGGAAAATAAACTTGTTCTCGAACGGGAGGACAGGAGACTTTGCAGAGCAGGCAGTGGGTACTCGCTAATCCGTGGCTGGAGAGGTGGCGGCAGGAGAGGGCACTGACACTGCCTGGGCGCCTTAGAAAACGCCCAGGCCAGGAAACCGGCTGGGATTAGGGATGATCACCTTTTTGTGACTTCTGTCCTGAGTTTGAAAGACCGGCGAGAGAGGAGCCGGAGCCTGGGTAAACTCCAGCCTGCTGTCGGGGCCTTGGGGGGCGCGGTGTTGAGGTGATACCACCGCTCGGTCAGCCTGAAGTGCTCCGAGGGTGAGGTGTTCCACCGCCGGCGACTTCCGCAACTCACACACGCCGCGGCCAGCCCAGCC